CAGAGCTATCTTCCCGAATGTTGGATCCATCAGAATCACACACAGCTGAAATGTATCACAACTGCAGGCATCGGAAAGAGCATACAGTGGAATATTGAAGTGAATGGACTGCTCTCCGAAAATGTTTTCACGATGGCTTATGTGACTCCTACTGTTTCGAGCGTGGAGTGCAAAACTACAGGGTGTGGAAGAGTTTCTGGAAATGAAGCTGTGGTGCTTCGTGGCACAAACTTTGCAAATGCAACTATCGAGGCGACGTATGGATTCACTGGATCTGAGTTCGTTGCTCAACAATGCCATGTTGTTTCGAATACGATGATTGAATGCTTGACTGCTGCTGGCGTGGGTCAAGAATTGATTTGGAAGGTATGGATCGGCGGACAAGAAGCAATCGTGTCTTCTACAGCTCTTTTCAGTTATGACGAAACGGAGATTAGCTATTTGGAAGGAAAGCCTATTGCCTTGAAGGGCGGAGATTTGGTATTCATTCACGTCTCCAATGACTTCGTTGGCTGTTCGGAATGCTCCTTCCAAATGATGTTCAATGGAGTTTCAGTAGATGCCGCCATTCAGAATTCGACCACTCTTGAAGCCATTTCGCCCCCAATCCAATACATCGTCATCAATGTCCAGGTGATTGTTTACTATCGTCAGTATCTGGTGGAAACGACGAATATCATCAGTCTTCCCATTCAAAACCCTACGATTGAGTCCACGATGATTCAGTCCATCTCCAATCTGGATACCTATCAACTCTCTCTTATTGGTGAGAATTTTGGTTTCCTGGAATCGGTTGTCTCGGTACATATTATGTCGTCAGAAGGTGAGGCGAGCAACTGCACTCTCGATCGGGTTAGCAATGATTTTGTGAGCTGCAGAACGCATTGCAGTGATGGAAGTGTTTATTTGGAGAGAAATACAGTTCAGAGCAATACCGTTGAATTCGCCACGAATTCTGTGAAGTTTGATTTATCAGGCTTTTCCACAGATATTGAGGGTTATCTCATTTATCCACAACTCTTCAACACCACTGGAGGAGAGCAACTCACAATTCGAGGCGAAGACTTCCCTTCTACATTGCAAGTGACTATTGGAAAATTGCAGTGTCAGCGAAGCAGTTTGAACTCCACTTTCTTGAGCTGCATTGTACCGCCTGGAGAAGGCAGACTTCTTCCTGTGAGAATCATTAGCAATCAGAAAGTATTACTCCAGATTTTCATGAGCTATTATGAGCCGTATATCTCCACCGTATCTCCGTCTTCATTACAGTTCGATACGCAAATACTTGAGATTGAAGGTGTCAACTTTGGATTAAATCCCCTTGTCTTGGTTTCAGGATTCAGTTTTGGTTCTCTGAATTGTTCTGTAAATTCGCACACTCATACTTGGATCCAATGCTCTCTTGAAGCCATTGATGCACTTGGACTTGCGCTTCAAATCAACGTTGCGGACCAGACGAGCAACACCGTGATTCTCACAACCATTCCACCCAAAATCGAATTGATTGAGGTGACCAATCTCAATGGAATGGAGCTGCAAGGTGTTCCTACAGATGGAGAGGGAATTCTGACGATTCATGGCGTTAATCTTGACGCCGATGTGACTCTGTGCCGCATGAATGACCAAATGTTGCAAATTGTTTCGAGGAATTCTACGATCGTTCAGTGTCGATTAATCCCTTCGTTTGATGCAGTCGCTGCTATTCAAATCCTTGCAGATTCGCTTCACTCCAATATCGTTTCAATTCCCTATTTGTCTCCAGTGATTGCCGCGATTTCTCCTTCAGAAGGTAATACGAATGGAGGAGAGACCATCACCATTTATGGATCGAATTTTGGCTGTAGCAATGCAAACAAGGACTTCATTCAAATCCACTTTGGAAGTAGTCTAATTCCTGTTGATGCGATTCATCATTGTTCTCATGCATCGATCGAGTTCAAGTCCCCAGAAGGTCAAGGAACCGATATTCCAGTGTATATCAGTCGCTATAACTATTCATCGCTACACTCCTATTTCAATTATTCTGCTCCTGTTATCCACGCTTACCAAGCTTCAGTCATGAATCAAGATCAGCTAGTACTGAAAACGCAATCTTCGCTGATGTTTGAACAGCCAGTCTTCATTCTGGATGGAGCGAACTTTGGATCGCATTCGGCAGAAGTGTTTGTCTCTGGCAAGGATTGTGTGGTGTTGCAGCAGAGCCATTCGCAGATCGTTTGTATTTCTCCCTTATTCCTGGGAGGCACGCACGATATTCACGTTGTTGTTGCGGGACAATCTAGCAACTCTGTGAATTATACATTCCCCAGTCCTCAGGTCACCGCGATTCAACCCCTCATGGTGGAATCCGTTGAATCCACTTTGTATCTGGACGTTTCCCATCTTCCTCCTGTTTCTGGATTGCAAATTCAGATTAAAGTTGGTTCCATCGTGGTTGATCAATGTCATGTTTCTCTCGCCTCAAAGGATACAATGCACTACATAGAGTGCCATTTACCAGAGCTTCCCAGAGGAGAATGGAAAATGAACTTGGCAATTGCCTATGAGGAGATTTCCATTCCAAAAACTTTCGACACGCTCACTGTGGTGTGCAAAGAAAACCAATACGCTGCGATTGGCGAGTACTGCGTTGTCTGTCCCGAAAACACGTATTGTCCTGCCAACTCTTCGATTCCAGAAGCCTTACCAGGAGGATGGGTGGTTGAAGGTGAAGATGGCTCCCATTCCATCGTTGAGGAATGCTTCTATTCGGATGCTTGTATTGGAGGAAATCTCTGCGCCCAAGGATATCAAGGATTCAAGTGTTACGACTGTGCAGCAGGGTATTCTCGCCTTGGGAAGTGGAGTTGCTCGCAATGTCCCTCTGGATTTAGCAAAGCATTCCCCATGATTGGGTGGATTGGCGTGTGCGTGTTGCTGTATATTGCCAGTGTCTGCCGATATTCCACTCGATTCGTTTGGTTTACTCTGCTGATCGATGCCTTCCAGCTGATTGGACTGTTGTCAGTATTCAGAGATCATTTCTCATCCATATTAGCCCCTCTGATCGATTTCTGCAGCATGTTTGTATTGGAAATGGACATGTTCCATTTGGACTGTTATTTCCCATCGATCAGTGAAAGTACTATTTGGATACTTGCTCTGCTCACAATGCTGTGTTGCTTCGTTCTTGGTACAGCGACTCGCTTCCTGTTGAGTCACTCAGAAAAGAAGGAATCCTGGAATCGAGAATCAGGAACACTCTTGACACACTTCACCAGTCTCTTGTATGTCTTATTGTTCCCGATTCTGTACCATTCTCTGCAGTCTCTTTCATGCAACAACAAGTATTACATGCAGTCACGAGGGGTTAGTTTCTCTGGTCTAGCGATGTGTTGGCTGGACGCAGATTATTCATGGGTGCTGATCATGTCTGCCCTAGTTTTACTCCTGTCTGTTGGAATGATCTTCTATTCGTACAGCCAGACAAAGAGAGATTTGGCTTTCATGGAGTCAGCTTGCTCTTCGAAGGGAGCTCAAAGCATGATTCTTCCAGGAAAATCGCATAGAATGGAACTGCTGGGAAGAGTGTTCAAGAATCAATCACCGATCTGCTTCTTCATCGCAATGATTCCAAAGAGCATCGTTGTCTTCTTCTTGATTCTTTTCCGCGAAGAAATCCATCTGCAGACAATCTTCATTCTGCTGTTCATTCCAATGCTGTGTGTAGCCATCTTGTTCACCGCTCCATTCAGAATAACGCAGAAACAATTGAAGAAGCCAATGGCAGAATCTGCGGTCGATTCATCGATCTCTGGAGTTGGAGAACACCTTACTCAATCAGCAACGACCCACAAGCATTGGTATTTCAATGTAAACTACCTGTTGATTGAGGAATTGCTGCTCTTCTTGGGTTTCTATGCCGATTCAATAATACCAACGTCTCAATTATCAGCATGGAGAATCGCCGTGGAAGTCTTTATCATTATCTGTTCTTCTCTGTTCGTTATCAGCACGGTCCTTTTGGGAATCGGTGAGTTGGCCTTCAAGAACGCCAATTCATTCTTTGATGTAATAAGCGAGAAGAAAGCTCGGCCAATCACAGAACAAGTAATTCTGGCAAGATTCCAGGACAAGAAAATAGAGGTGAATAGCGTAACTCAAAGATGGGAGGAAATTCCGAAAAGAGATGAGGAAGAACAAGAAACAGATGAAAAGGAAGAGGAAAAGGAAGAGAGATCTGAGGAAATCGGAAATGTAGATGAAAGACACCAGAATCAGCTTGACGCAGCAAGACAACAGAGAATCGTTGAAGCCATTGATGCATTTGGAAAACGCTTGTCTACGGACTCGCATGATTAAGAACATTGTATGTTCTGTTTGTTGTGATAATATGAAATGAAAGGAGTTTAACAAATGTATTTGGAAATCTATGATGCAAATAGGGAAACAGTAGCTGTGAGCAAAACTGTAAGAAAGTGAGCTTATTGAACCAAATCATTCCAGCAAAAAGTTCCATATATACCACTACAGCATTCAAAATAAGGTGAAACAACAGTTTTCCTCATTTTCACTCTTTCATTGTTTCAGCACTTCCTTTTTACTCCATTCCATTGCTCTGTCACTCTTATAACAATTTCCACCATTTCACGCTTACACATTTTTGGAGGCAAATTCATTCCTTCACAGAATTATCATTGAATATGGAGGTATGCCATTTTTCTTCGATTTACCACATAGCAAGTGCCTATTTCCAATGTCTGGTTCTATTGCTTTCCTCATGATGATTTTGATGAAACCGATCCTCGTGTGACAATTATCAAGGCATTTTGCATATTTTTTAGTCAAGCAGGAGCTTCTTTGCTCCAAAGTGTAGCTTTTCTATAAAAACTTGATTTTAGGCAATTCATTATCAAGAGCACTCTTCTGTGTACATCAAATTTGAAGATCTTATTCGCTTATGCCCTGTGTCTGATTTGCGAACTGCTCTATTCGAACACCCAGAAGATACCATCGCATGCATGACGGCAGCAGTAATGATTGTGACAGCGATTAATGGAGTTGTCAATTCCCACCTCCGAGTTCGAATCTTGGATTTTGACCCACTCACTCCTTTCAAAGACATAAAGGCCAATCTTGTGGGTCGTTTGGTGGCAATTCAAGGCACGATCATTCGAGTGGGTGGGATTCGCTCGATGGTGATGAAAATGAACTTTGAATGTGTTCAGTGCTCGGCTGTGATGCAGGTGGTATGATCCGTATCCGATTCTAACTAGACCTTTGTTGATGGGAAGTACCAGGTTCCTTCTCGCTGCGGGAATCACGGCTGTCGAAGCCAAACGTTCCGTCCACAGCGTCAATCCGCCATTACCCAAGATTGGCAAGTGATCAAGTACTTTCTTCTCCTTCCTCATCCAGCAGGCTTCAAGAAGTCGGTGAAACCGATGCTGTGGATTCGGGGCGAATTCCGCGAACTCTCGAAGTTCATTTACTCGGCGACCTCGTAGACGATGTAACTCCCGGAGAACTCGTAACCATCACCGGTGTCGTGAAGGTAGAAACCGTGGAAACGTAGGAAATAGACGATGACCGTGGAGAAACCGTTCGGGAACCGCAGTTCTTCGAAATCGAGTTTGTTTTTGTTGTATGTGTCTGCGAATAGTATTAGTGTGAAACGGGTTTCTCTGTTTGTTTGTTTTTTGAGGTAGAACGAAATGAACAACTCGTCCTTTGATCGGTTTTCCGAGCTGGACATGAAAGCTTTCAATTTCATCGCGTCCCAACCCAATCTTTTCAACCTCTTAGTCCACTCGGTGTGTCCGTCAATCTACGGACAAGAACTCGTCAAAGCGGGCATTTTGTTGTGTCTCGCAGGAGGCGTGTCGATGGAGAACCGCCGAGGAAACATTCATGTATTGATGGTGGGCGATCCAGGCCTTGGAAAGAGCCAATTGCTCCGTGCAGCGTCCGCGTTGAGTCCGCGCGGCGTGTTTGTGTGTGGAAACACGGCGTCCGGAAGCGGACTGACCGTCACTATGGCGAAAGACAAAGTCGATATTCGATTGGATCGAGACGTAGATCACGGGGGATTCGTGCTTGGAAGCGGGAGCGTTGGTGCTAAGCGATGGAGGACTGTGCTGCATCGACGAATTCGACAAAATGGGAGGCGAGAAGCAAGTTTTATTAGAAGCCATGGAGCAGCAAACCGTCTCCATCGCCAAAGCTGGCATTGTCTGCACGCTTTCCTCGCGTGTGTCCATTCTCGCCGCCGCCAATCCTTCTGGCGGGCATTATAACCGCGGGAAAACCGTATCAGAGAATATCAAAATGCCGCCTGGACTGTTAAGTCGATTCGACTTGGTTTTTCTTGCGCTTTTCTCAATGAATCGAAGACGTTTTTGCTCCTCGACACTCCCGATGAGGAGAAGGATCGAATGCTCTCCGAACACATCATGAAAATGTACGCAGCCGACGGAGAGGCCGTCGATTCCCTCGCTCACGCCGCGTTTCCACGTTTCCACTTTTTGATTCTAGCGCAGCTCCGTCGTTTTCGATGCAGGACGATTCCTCCATTTCGCTTCGACTTCGTCGCGGGGCGGCCGATGTAACGGACCCCATTCCCGCGGTTCTTCTTCGCAAATACCTGGCGTTTGTGCACCAAACGGTGAATCCTCGTCTGACCTCGGAAGCAGCGCGCGTTTTGAAGTCGTTCTACTTGTCGCTTCGCGATCAGTACGGCGACGACGAAGCGATTCCGATCACCATGCGTCATCTGGAGAGTTTGGTGCGACTTTCGCAAGCTCGTGCGCGTTTGGAGTGTCGAACGGAAGTGTCTGTGGAGGACGCGAAGGACATTATTGATATTATGAAGGAGAGTTTGTTCGAAGTGCTGAGCGATGAGATGGGGATGGTGGATTTCCAGCGAACGACGGGGATGAGCAAGACGAAACAAGTGAAATTGTTCGTGGCGGCGTTGACGAAGGAGGCGGAACGGAGGTCGAATGCGTTGTTTAGCGTGCGGGTAAGGGAGTGGAGAGAGTGTAAGATAGGAAATGATGGAGGTGGCGAGTCGGAATCGCATTTTTGTGGAGGATTTTATGGATTTTGTGGATGTGTTGAATCAGCAAGCGTTTATTTTGAAGAAGGGAGGGCAGATGTATCAAGTGCAGACAAGTCGTTATTCACAAATGAGATAACAAACAGTGAAATGTGTTTTAATATACCAAACAAAATACAACCCGCATGAAACCAGGATGATTCCTGTGTACACGAGACAGCGATCCCACCAACTTCGACTCATCGCTCTATGGATAATGTTTCCAGTCAATCCTAGAGAGTTTGCCATATCCAGAATTCGCTTTTGGGCGCGCTTTAGCACATTCCGTTGATCGTACAAATTGTTGAGAGAATTCCTTCCCATGTCCAAATAATAGTCTGCCATCGTTGTAGTTCGCGACAGAGCGTCGTTTTCCTTCAACAAAGCAGCTTCAACGTCAATTGGACGCTATATCTTCAACGATACAATTCATTCCTACATCCTCTTTTCCTCCCGATAAGAGTTCTGTCTTTTTCATCAACGTGATCTTGTTATTCGATATTCTTGAGAAGTTCTTTTTCAAATTATAGTAGTCATCTGTAATTGATCGGACACGCCTAATTCATAAGGTGCATAAGAGAATACCGTTGCCACACCTGCTTGTTGGGGGAACGATCTGCCTTTACTCGCGATGTCAGGGCCTTTAATTTCTCCAAGATTACCCGCAGTGATTCCTCGTATTTGTGAAGATCCTCTAATGTCGTTTCAGGCCGATCCAACTTATCAAGTTCGGTTTCAGCAGCCAAAACTAGGGCTTGAATAGCCGAGAACTCTTCTGTCACCTGTGCCATGAAAGATTTCTGACTCTTTTCTTTTGTGTAATGATGGCTCTGCAGCTCTCTACTGTGTGTTAGTTTTCTGAATTCGAAGAATTCCGTTCTTCTTGTCAAATGATGCAAGCTCGTGACTTTTGAACTATTACGTTTTTCACCTTTTGAATTACGATTCTTGTCTGTTTCCTGTAGATTCGTGAGTTACATGACACTTCACAAACAGTATGTCGTATGGATGAATGTCGGAGCGCTCGTACGATATTAGATATTCACACCATTTTTAATTTTAAGTTGTTTTCCAAATGGAAGAGAACTTTATGATACTTCCATGGAATGGGCCAATGACAAATCGTCATGGTGCCATGGAAGGTGGAAATCCAAATTTGTTTGAAGTGGCATTATGGGATGATCAGCTGACGCATTCCTTGAGTAATAAAATCATTACATCTACCGACATTTGGTTTAGTGTGGATGTTTTGTCTCCTGACACCCATTTGTCATCGATACCAATAAATCCTTCTGATGTAAAGTCAGTCGACAGCAATGATATGAGTTCGAGTCGATATTTCGATTCTTCATCGAAATCACAGCAGGAGAATGGAAACGTTCCGATTCTACAATCCTTTATTGATGATTTTGCCACAGTTGTGGCGAATGATGAGGATCCGTTGCTAACGTCTTCTCTCTTGTATAATGAAGCGAAGGAGTAGGCAATTGTTTTTCTTGTACTATTTAGTGATTCCTCTGACCACAGGTTAGACGCTTTGCGAGGAAAGCTCAACGAAATTATAAACAGTCACAATTTTTTAACAAATGAAATTCGCAACTTAACGCACACAGTAGGCCCTTTTTAGAAGCATTTCCCTTAGAGTGAAATCGAATCAGTCGAAAATGTGTTTTTTGTTTGTTAAAAAAAACACTCCACAAGATAACGCAGCAGTCCTTCGACTGGGTATTGCTATTCGGATTCTCCGGAGCCAAGCTATCGGTCATGTCCGCATTTCCCTCTGGCGTGACTCCTGCGCTGATCTCGGCTCCTTCCGGCGTCATTACGAACACACTCGTTGAACCCCGAGCAGTCTCTCCCTCCTCCGCGCTCTTCTCCGCGCTCCCCTCGATGACCATCTTCTCTCTTTCTTCGTTCCCCGCCTTTTCTTCCTCTGCTGCGTCCGCTTCCTTCTCCTTCTTCATCATCGACTCAGCCTCACTCAACGTCTCTCCTTTTGCTTCCTCGTTCGACTCCTCCTCTTTCTTGTCTCCATTCAATCCTTTCGATTCATTCAATCCTTTCGCTTCATTCAATTCATTCAATTCATTCAATTCATTCAATTCATTCGATTCATTCGATTCATTCGCGGGATTCATCGCTCCCTCGGGCTCCTCGCTCTTCGATTGCAGCGAGATCCGCAGCGACAGCGCGTGCTGCACCTCGTCCGACGAGAGATCGCGCCGATTGATCTGCGGCCCCGCGACCCCCGCGCTGGACTCGCATCCCCGCAGCCACTCATGACTCTACGCATCACTCGCTCAATCCTCCCCCACCAAAATCTCATCGATCGAAATCCGCTTCGCTGGATCCTTATCCAAAAACCGACCCAGCAAATCCCTCTCGTTAAGAAACACAAAAACACAAAAACACAAAAACACAAAAAAGGATATTGTAACGCGGGCGACAGATCCGCGGGGATCTCGACCTCCTTCTCCACGAGATCGTCCATGAAATCGATGGGATCGGGGTTGTACAGCGGCAATCGGCCCACGACCATCGCGAACAGCGTCACGCCCAGCGCCCAGATCTACATCGCATCGCTCCGTTCTCCGCTACGTCGGCCGCGTAGGTGTTGTAGGGCTGGTCTGCGCAGCATTCCGGAGGGTAGAAGTACGTCGTGCCCGCGGTGTTCGACATGAGGCCCGTCGGCGAGCGAGTCAGCATGTGCAGAGGACGGTTGGAGACAGGCAGGTCGGATCCTATGGAGAAACGGGGAAACGGGGAAATACCCGAGGATTGGTTGTGGCCGGTGAGGGTGTCGAAGATGTGAGCAACGCCGAAGTCGACGATGTGGGGTGAGGGAAACGTGGAAATGGAGAAACAGAAAGGATATCTTACAGTGGTCGTCTTTGGTGATGAGAATGTTCTCGGGCTTGATATCACGATGTACTACTTTGTGAAGATGGACTACACAAAAAAAAAGAGAGAAGCAGAAATACGGTATTTCAGTCCTTGAACGATTTCGTAAAGGTATTTCTTCGCTATCGATTCAGGGAGGACACCTCCTAAATGTTGGCTTTGCTTGAAGAACTACCTGTTCGCTTAGAGAAGAAGCGGAGGGAGTTAGGATCATAATACATAATTTGTCCATTCTCCACATACTCAATTACCATATAAATTCTAATCAAAATTGGCCGAAAAGCAGGTACTGGTCCTCTTCTTCGTCGTCGATCACATCGACCAGAGAAACGAGATTCGGATGGCGCAGACGCTTCATGAGGGCGATCTCCCTCTCCACTTTTTCCAGCGCAGTAGAAAACACCATTTGGTCGTTCACCCGACTCCAGGTCTTTTGCATTCGCAAAAACGAACGTGAGAATACTTTCACGGCCTATAACTAAGACACTATTCGGACGAATACGAATATTTCTCGTTTACCATTCAAAAAACGCTCACACTTAAACACTTTCGAATAACCTCCTTCTCCAAGTTTTTCAAGGAGCTTATATTCACAACGAACTCCGTTCAGTTCACTGCGAATAATATTCATTGAAAATAATAGTCTATCCCTTTGAAAAGTAAGAATTTTCCAGAAAAAGCTGCATGTCATTTCTTTGAAACATGATTATAACAAACAATTTCTTATTTGTGCTGGCATAACGATGATCTCCTTACGATGTAGACATGATCCTGATTTCTTCGCAGAGGCAACGTCGTCAGCGACACGGAATATGCGCCAATGTTCTTAAACAAAATGATATCTCCAACCTTCATCTCCGGAAGGTCGATATTCGAAAGCACCACATCTTTCTGCATAATCGACGATCCAATAATCGAGGCGGGGTGCTTCTCACCCTCCACCAATGGCTCCACATCGAAATTCATATCACAGAGAATCAAATCGTGGAAAACGCCCATCACTCCCTCGTTGATCTTGTAAACAGTCCGTCCTCCGCGCTTTGACACGTTCAGGACTTTGCACGCAACACTCACCGTGTTGTTATTGAAGTAACGGCCGGGCTCCGAGATCATACGGAAGCCCTCCGTGCTGAACACTTCGTGCTTCTTTACGGCATCACGAATAATGCCACAGACGCTGGTTAAGGATGGGTTTTCAAACTTGTCATTGCCTAAATCACCGGCCCAACCACCACCCAAATCTAACAGGGTCATCGTAAAACCGAACTCTTTCGCCATTTTAAACACTTCGGCGGAGTCACGCACAGCCTTTTCGTATGCGTACTGGTCCTCATTTCCAGTACCAACATGGAAGGCAACGCCCACCGCTTCCATTCCGCAAAGTTGCACTTGATTGAGAATGCCACGAACTTCGCTAAGGTGGCATCCGAACTTACTGCCCAGAGCAATGATCGAGTGGCTATCGTCCACCCATAAACGAATTACAATACGGCAATGCTTAGCATCTTCACCTAAGACATCGTGCATTTTCTGCACTTCTTCAATACTATCAACTGTTCCTGTCCAAATTCCGTTCTTTCGCATACACTCAATACCCTCCACCGACTTTATCGGATTCGCAAAAATGATATGATCGGGCTTGATTCCGCGACTCAAACACATGTTGATTTCCTCAACACCAGCGCAATCAACGCACATTCCAGGAAGTGAGCACATCAAATCCATCAACTTCGGATTAGGATTACACTTCATGGCTACAACTAATATAAAATAGTATTAGTAGTACCGTAGAAAGGTTGGACATCCCCAAATACGTTGAACCATGTCTTATACTGAACCAAGACGCTAGTGAGATCAAAAATGCAGACGGACTTATCTGACGGGTGGTCTTGGACATACTGCTTCACGAACTCTTCCAGGGTGGTAGAATCATCGATAATGAGAACTTCAGGATGTCTTTCCACGAACTCATCAAGGGTAGTATTCAGCACAGTATTCAAGTCCTCAACAGCAGCCAATCCACTTCGATCGCTCATTTCAGCAATTAATGAATGAATTATAGTAATATCTCTGTATGACGATCCAGTATCGGGACATGACCAATTATATAGCATGCAAATCCGTCCCAATAAGGATTCACCTGATGTTTGTTACAATAATAATCATAAAAATCAAATGAAATTACTATGAACATTTCACCCACAATCTACCAGATTGCTATGTTGTTTATACATCACTCAAATAAACTCTTCGGTTATTATGGCCATGCTCCAATGATTCTTGTGGATATCACATATACTATACGCATGTAGGTATTTATGAATCGACTGGAATATTTGTGTTACAGACACAAGTTCATCGAATGAAGAAGTTTACATTATTATGATTCAATATACTGACAATTTGTTTATTCATATGAATATAAAGTTGAAACAATCTAATACTACTTCTATCTTTTAGTGTGTTTAGTTGTTAGGATTCATCATAATGCATATTATATATATATATAGATATAGATAGATAGATAGATAGATAGATAGATAGATAGATAGATAGATAGATAGATAGATAGATAGATAGATAGATAGATAGATAGATAGATAGATAGATAGATAGATAGATAGATAGATTATTTTACTCACACTCAGTTTTCACAATATGTAAATACACATAAATATAACTAATCTGTAGAACCAAACACCATATTTCTTCCTCTATAACTCATCAAAGTCACGTTTTGTTTTGATTGATAGGAAGTATTAGTTTGAATAACACGAAACTGATAGAGTCGCATCTTCTCTTCTGTTTAGCAGTCCGCTTTTTTATTACTTGATTCTATCTATGATTTTATTTTTATAGACCATCCAAAATGAATCTATGATATCTACATTCTTCCCATCAAGACATCTCTGTCATATTTTTGAGTGCTGTGTGTTTATTTATTGTTTTAGATTCTTCAAACGACAACTTTCATAGTCAATGTTTCCATGAGCTCCATATCTCATTTATTATTGATATTCATAACTATTCCCACTATAGATCAAGTAGAAAAGAAAATAGGGCTGGTTGTTTATCGTACTATGAAAAGCAGAGTTTACTAGTTGACTCTGATTCATGTGTACTTATTTTCGCTGACCACAAGTTTTGTTTTTTGAAATGAAGAATCGATTCCGAGCATTTTATAATTATTTGTTTTGTTGAGTGATAGCTGTATTATTAAAAAGCCAAATAGTGGCTATAGTCTAACATACAACAGTGCTCGTAATTATTAGAACAAAAAGAATGAGTCACACAATAAACCGTTGAATTTATAGACTTCCCGTGAACCAACCAGATCAAGTGAGAAGTAGACTTCTCGTGAATAGAAAAGCAGGCGCACACACAGACACACAGACACACAGACAGACAAACAGACAGACAATATACCAAGAAAATCATTTTTGTTTCACCTCAATGATATTATCTCACACAAACACTCTGCGGTGCATGTCCCATTAAATAGAAAATGTACTACTACTACTACTACAATATACACACTATAGAGTTTGCTGCTGATCATATGGATTTCTTGATCTGTCCATCATTCTCTGCGAATTCGAAGATTCCTCGCTATTCTTAGCATAGGATCGATGACTCTTCATGATCATTCCATGATTCCAGAGGCGAACTTTATTGTCTCCCTGCGGTTTATCCTGATCCACAAGCTTTCCTAATCCATGATACTGTCCACAGTCCCAGTCTCCATAATAGCAAGATCGATTCTTATAGAACATTTCTCCATAGCCGTTAAAGCTCTCGTTCGATACATTCCCCGAAAACACCGTCGCAACGTGTGAAAACGACAAAATCATGCCATGCACTTTATTATCTTCCCAGCTTCCCATAATCATCGAGCCATTCGCCATCATGATCACGCCCAGTCCGTTCTTCTTTCCCTGACTGATCTGGCCAAAGTACACGACACCATCTCCATATTGCTCAATGGTATACCCGACACGATCTCGCCTCTCCCACACCGATACGATATAATGCTTCAAATCGTGGAAAAAACAGCCATAGCTCATGAGTCCCCTACAAGAGCAACCCACGAACTGGTTCTCATTATTGTAGGACACGTGACCCATTCCGTTCGGCTCACCTCCTGATGTCAATCCCTTATAGCGCCGGTCTGTGAGTTTCAAAGAGCCGTATGTGACAGGCAAGTCCTTTGTGAGAACTAGAGGAAGTTCGCCGCAAAAAACATTTGGCCCAACTGCTTTGAATCCGCAATGTTCACGATAAGTACAGTGCATTTCCTTACACTCCCCAATAAAGTAAGTGAACAAATTTGTAGAAACTAGTGTTAATTCTTCGCAAAGTTCAAATAAATAGCACTCAATACACATTTCAAACAAATCGGCTTGACAGTTTAAAATATATATTGATACACCATTAGGCTGCTTCTCGAGTTTCTGACCTGATTGCAAGTCATCTATGGACTTAAATTCCAATAATTCGAGCAGATAGTCTATTTTCATTAACCTTCTCAACAATTCCGGAAGAGCTACCAAATCAATATATTCCAAATATGCAAAGTTGCCAGTACTTTTGGGTGGAACATTAATAGCTAATCCAATTGAAGGATTCAGGTTGGTAGTAAAATAGCCAACAAACTTTACAACATTGTTGATAAATAAAACCCCTATCTGTTTATCTCCTCCTGTCTTTATATAGAATAGGATCTTATTATCAGTTAAGACGATCTCGGGAAAACTAGCCGTAGATCCTAATTTATATATATATCGACACATCTACCATTCCTACTCGCTCCTTCCACGCAACTTAAAGCTCTTTTTCCTATTAATTACAGTTATGCAGTAAAACGGCTTACTAGAACTTGTCACTCGGCCATTCTCCTCTCCGATGTGCCCCACATCCATGACAACAACAGAGTACGAATCTGGAACTACTACAAGTTATTTCTAACGGAGTTATTCTATTGTTAAAAAATAATGTCAGCCGTTCCTGGAAATTCATTCAATTCAAATGGATCCGGGATTTTGCTTCCTTCTTCAGGTTGCATGTATAGTTGAGTTTTTTATTTAGTGCCTCTGAGTTATTCTCAACCAGTAGAGATGAGCCTGGAGGTCATCGGAAAGAGACTGGAGGAGACAATAATGTAGGAATCGTAAAGTGTATGTCAACTAGTACAATTAAAAATGCAATGGAAGAGAAGAGCAAGGATCCAGTATTTATTTATTAAAGCACATGTAATAGCGTAGGGTCTGCACGAGGTGTTTCCAATTCTGAGATCCAAGATTCCATATTCTATATTTCAGCTATTATACGATTTTGAGCGCACATTAAAGACTACTCGTTGTTCTTTCTTACTATCTTTACTTTAGCTTGCTCTCCCACAGAGATGACTACGAAGAGCGAGAAGCACACAAAAACTGTGGAAGAGAGTAAAGCCCTTGCTGATTTTCAAGGTGAGCTTCTTTTTCGAGTTATTTATAAGCTCTTTGTAATGAAATTACTGCTTTGACGTCTTATTCTCATTCTTCGGACCAGGAAAAGATTTCCTCTCGACTCGTTCGTGAAATCCAGCTCAAAGTGAAGAAAAGCAGAGACGCAGACCCAATTCTTCGTGAAAGCGTGATATCTTCCTCTTCAGTGGCTTCAAAATCCATTTCGTTTACTCCCATATCCAGTGTTCCTAGCACTCATCCCATCCATCAAACCGGCAAAATAACCGCGGTTTCGTTTATGATGGATGTCCCCACGTTGCTTCGTGGAACGGGAAATGGTGTTTGTCATATTTGCAATCGGAAGGCGATGGAATTAGAGAAAGAAAGAGTGGAATTGGAGAAGGAGAAGGAGAACAACGAAGAAAAAGAGGGTGTGGAAGGGACGAAGGAAGCGAAGAATGAATGTGAGCAAAATATGAAAAGCGAGAAAAGTGGAATAAATGTGAAACTGGAGGTGAAACAATCGAATGAATCGAATCCAGAGAATCCAGAAAATCCAGAGAATCCAGAGAATCACTCACTCAAAATCGAAACTCACATCAAAACGGAGGAAGTTGATGTCTCGACTTCAATTCCATCAATCAAAGTCGAGACTCAGCAGAATCCGAGCGTGGGTTCGGCTCCTTCGTTGTCCACACAGCCAAACCATGCGGTCGAGTTGGAGAGTATTCAACTCATTCACTTTCTTTACGCTTAGAAAGCCTCGGAACGGAGGAAGCTTCTCTCAACCAACCCGTCGCAGACCCCGCTTCCACTCTCCTCGAGGCGAAAAAGCAGGACAAACAAACCGAAGGTAGGCATTTCGACTCGCCGGCTTCCGCGCAGCTGCTTCAGCCAACCCAAAAGTCGATAAAAAGCGCAGGAAAGGCGAGCTGTCCGGCTCGTTAGACAACACGTTCGCCGGCGAATTTGTCGATGGCTTCGAATACGTCACAAACCTCATCAATTATCAAACGATTCCCTACGTACTGCTCTTTTAACGAATCCTCATCGCCAGCAGCTCTGTGAGGACGAATGCAGCCTTCTCTCCATCCGAGACGACGTGAAGAAGCAGGTAACTTTCTTCTTTTTCTTCACGTCGTGAGACGTAGATCATCTCAAACTGGAAGCAACTGCAAGCCCGACTCTCCGCTTTCCTCGCTGTTTTAGAGAGACAGGTAGCGCAAACACGTCGGCTGAGAAGCAGATCGAAACGGCGACGGACCTCAAGGAGGAGGAGAAGAAGGACTCGATGGAGAAAATTAGCACGGTGAGGGAGTATATCGACAAGGAAGTGCTTTCAGAAGACGTCACGGATGTGAGCGAAGAGTCGTTTTCGTTGGTTTTTTGGGGAAAATTGTGTGAGGAATAGAAGCTCGGAGAGCTCGAAGAAGGAGGGCGGAAGAAGTCGAAAGTGAGAAAAGGGAGGGAGGAATGAGTGACTGTAGACATCTGGATACGTCGGACGATGAAGAGATCATTTCCGAATTGAGAAGATCGAATCGAAAGCGGAAGAATCACTCGAGGACGCTTCAGAGTTTTGATAACGGTGAGGATGAAGTTGTTCCCAAAAAACGAGGGAAGAACAAGTAGTTGACTAATGTGCTGTTTTTGTTATTACGACTGTATATGTTTTAGTGTATGATTTCTGTTTGTTGAATGAGTGTTTTGAAATGGTTTCTGTGCAACCAATGAGTGTGGTTTTCGTACATTTCCCTGTTTTTTTTATTCACAAAAATCCACAGTGAGGTTTCCCCTGCATTTTCGTCACGATTCTGACTGACTAATTCACTTTTCGATTGTTTCCAAAGGAGATACGATCCCCGCGGCAACCCCTGAGGAATTGTGTTTTTCTCAAATGATATCTGGCATTAGTAAGACTCAATTCTGGCTTCTTGTATTCTGTGCCTATGGCTGCATGCTGGGGCAGGGATTCATCGACAACACACGTTCTGTGACATTTCCCATGATGCGAGATGACCTCCACCTAAGCTACAAGCAGTATGGAAGTTTACAGTCCATGGCTCAGTTTTCTTATTTGGTATGGAGCTTTGCTGTCGCGGCCTCTCTACAGAAACTCGGATTTAAAACTGTGATTTTGTCTGCTTTCATTATTTCGATCATCGGATGCGGTATTACTGCCCTCGCAAACGGATACTGGACATTGTTTTTGTTTCAGTTCCTGGCGTGTGCTGGTATGGGTGGGTTGGACGATGCTCCACATGCGCTCTCCTCTCTCCTGTTTAAGAAGAATACCGGAATTCTGATGTTGCTCCTCCACAGTTGCTACGGACTGGGAGCTGTGATCGGTCCTATTTTTGCTCACTACGTTGAGGAGCTCTTGCCAAAGTACTCCTTCCGCGGAATCACCCTGGCGATGTGTGGTCCGCTCGCTCTTCTCGCCCTCATCATCCTCTTCATCCCGTTCGCCATTAAGAAGCCCGTTTCGGAGGAGCAAGTTGCCAATCACACCGGCTTCACGGTCTGGAAGGCTCTCGCTTCGCCTGTCGTTTGGTTCCAATCCATCACACTGATTCTCTTGACCACCGGCGAGCGAGCCACCAGCACCTGGGCAGGTCTTTATCTGGAGGACGTGCTGCATCTCGACCCCGCTGTGGAAGGAGCGTGGTTTAACTCGTGCTTCTACGTGGCTTTCACGTTGGCGCGACTCTTGGGCGGCGTTTTAGTGGACTGGATCGGTGCGTTTTCGACCGAATATCTCGTCACGACCCTCGCCATCATCATCTTCACAGCCGGCCTTCTGGCGGGCAAGACGGGGCTGTACATTCTCCCGTTTGCGGGCTGCGCGGTGGCGTTTTTCTGGCCGACGTACATTGTGATTTGCATGCGGTATTGGGGCGAAAACGCGTCGGTTCCGATCAGCTGCATCCTCCCCATCCAGGCCTTCCTGGGCATCTTTGTGCAGTATTTGCTGGGCTGGCTGAATGACGCGTTCGGACCCTCGGTGGCGTACTGGTCGACGGTTCCGTTTATCTCCCTGGCGCTGGTGTGTGTGGTGATTAACCACTTGATGGTGCTGAAGAAGGAGAAGAAGGAGAAGGAGACGAAGGAGGCGGAGGAGGCGTTGTTGAAGGAGCAGAATGTGTGCTGAATTGTTTGAGAGAGAAACGTTTGTCGTAACACACAATCTTGTAGTTTGCACGTTGATTCCGGCTATTTTTGTAGTAGATGGATGAAAACCCGGAAAGGAACGCGTCGTAGGAATTTGGCGCTCATTTGACTGTAGGCAACAAAATGAAGCTGTCTCTTCTCCAGAAATCACCGAAGTTGGTAGAGTAATACAAAATATAGAGTACAATCTTATAGAAAGATACGGTGAGCAAAGTGAGTGATGACGAGCTGAAACGATCTCGGAATGTATTTTCAAGGGGCTTTGCAGTGGTAGACCACTCAACGGATATAGTGGAGTTCTATACCTTTATGGCATTTGTTCAGAATGTGGATAAGCGATATCTTGTAAGCAGAACATTACAATAGTCATGAACTGTAGCCCGAAATCAATCCGGTGGCACTCGCTCTTTTTAAATGTATTTTACTAATAAACAAGGGGAATCTGGAGATTGAGCAGCTCTGTAAATTCTTCGTTTCGGCCAATACGTTTTTCCAGGGCGAGCAATACAAAAAGGACATTTCTTTTCTAAAAGCCTGTCTAACCGAGAGCGTACGTTTTTCTTACTGCTATTCATGTCCAGAGTCGATACCTCTTTCAGAACCTTCGCCAGCAGTTCTCCCTGCTTCAGCCTTACCTCTTCATTAGCTACTCTACATACAATCTGCTCAACAACGTTCTCCAAATCGAAGATTTGCACGCCATGCGCGACTACATAACCACTGTACGCTCCTCCCCCCTCCATTACGCGTAGAATTTGAATTGTCGCGTCATTCGCTCCACTCCAACCTCCACAAATTTCGACTTTTTCCCGCTCCCTTCCCCCGTTTCCCCCTTTCCATCCCCCGCAGCTTCCCTCTTTCCTTCCATCCTCCTTCTCCATCTGAACCGCTTTGTCGAATCTTCCACCACGAGCGTTTCTCTCTCGCTTTTCGAGCGCCACGTCGTCGTTTCGGCGGTCGCTTCGCTGTTCGACGTCGTAAAATCGGCGACTCGCGTTGAGTTTTCAGATCGCCGTGGCGACAGACGATTCCAAAATCCACCTTTTTAAACGCTCCCTCCATCAACCCTCTCTTTATCAACACGTACACACACGCAGCCATCCACGTGATTCCGATAGTCGCTTTGCATCGCACATAAAAATTCCGTCTGCGCGCTCGCCTTCTCCACCGACCAAACCACGCTTTTTTCCGCGGGAATCGACGGACAGGTGCGATGCTGGTCCGTTCCCCAATCCACCTGCGTGGTACCTCTCGTTCTCTGTTTCCACGCAGGCTTGCTATTCGTTCTCGCGTCTGCCCGTTTGGGATCTCGCGTTGAATCATCGAAACTCGCATTTCGCGTTCGGCGGACTCGATTGCCGCGTTTATTTCTGCAATTCCGCGGTGGACGATGCGCCAATCCGCGTTTTCTCGCAGCACCACGCGCCGATCACGCGCTTACGCTTCACGCAGAACGATGTTTTCTTGCTGAGCGCCGATGAAGCCGGCGAAGTTCGCATGACGGACGTTTCGTCTGGGTATTCGGTTCAATAGGAGGTTTCTGGTAGAACCGTCTATCGCCTTTTTCTCGCAGAAATGCAGATATCGCAGATGGTGATGGTGCTGAAGGATCAGATGCTCGTTCTGGGAGACGATAGGGGGATGATTGCGATGTTCGATGTGCAGACTGCGCAGTGTGTGTTTCGAAAACAGGTTTGTGAAGGAGTAGGAAAGAGGAGAATATATATTTATATATTTTGTAGCCGATCTCTGGGTTGTGCGAGGATTCGGAGAGATCGTTTATAGTCACTTCGGAAGAGGGAGAAGTGGTTCTGTTCGAATACAAAGACAATGTGCTAGAGGAAAGGAAGCGATATAAGGTGGGAGCAAGGATTCACCGGATTTCGCACGCATTTTCGAATGTTTTTGCAGCAGTCGAGTATGACTCTTGCTATGTTTGTTGGAAATACAAAAGGAAATGGATTTTATGCTCACTTACGACAGTTAAAATTGTTTGGCGATCCTTTCTCAAAGCTAGAATTCGTATTATAATATATTACGACTTCAATGGATTCCAATTTCCTAGGTAAGCTACTCTTCAAACCCATTTTGGGTAGATTCGTTTATCCATGAAGATAAAATCAAAAGAAGTCTTCAGAGCAAGAATTCTCCAAATCACATTCAAGTAGAAAGTGTGAATGTAGGTACCACTCATCGAAATTGAATTCTAGATAATGATTCAGAGTACTGAATCGTTAACAGATATTATGGATAATGAAATGTGGCTCATTCTTGTATTTTTGAAAGATTCGTCCAATCGAAAGCTAATTCTCAAAGCACGTTCAAAACCGATCAGTGAAACGTACTTTTAGCACATAGGATCTATCATCTAGATTACTCTATCAGGTTGACTGCAATGTGGACTCGGTCTATCTAACCAAGTACCGATCTGCAATGGCCCTCCTCTACAAAACCAAAAACGAAGATACTTCTCAAACCTCGGTAGGCTCCATTCCATGTCTTCACCCAAGTCGTTTCCGATTGGTTCCCCTGCGTTAAAATGGGGATTCGGCTCTGTCATATTCATCGATACCCATTTCGTCTGCGAAATTGAAGTCAGCGCCCCCACTCCCGAATCCGTGAAGTTTCCAATCCACAGTAAAAAGTAGATGAATGCTTCGGATCCGCTGGGCTGCTATTTGCATTCCGAAGACTTTATCGATTATTCCTACGAAGAGAACTACCCCACGAGCAGTCAAGAGTTCGTTCTTTGTGTTGTTGTTGTTTCTAACGAATAGCATGCTGCCCAGTTCGATTTTTGCCATGTTGATGGCTTCGTGTTGTCTCGAGAACGATCCTCATTCCATGGAATCCTTTCTCGCTGATCCCGTTCCCGATCTCATCACTCTCGAAAATGATGATAATGAAAATGATGAACATGAACATGAAAATGAACATGAACATGAATCAATCGAGCCGGTGGGTCCGAGTTCCGAGCTCTCCGCAGAAGTGATCAAAATGAATATTCCGAAGCTGAACTTATCGAGAGAAATGCAAGAGAAAGCGCGTTTGATCTACGAAAACAAATACATGAAACAAGCACTACTTGCCTTCGAAGAACGCGAGTATTGAACTTTTTTCACTCTCCCAATCTCATCGCATAGTTATCAGAAATGTTTGAATTGGTGCCAGTTCGTGCGAACCCTCAACGAAGGAAACCTCCAAGCGAAAAGTGGAAACGGGGAAATGCGTGTGAAGTAGACTTGTCGATTCGCTGCTTGCTGGAGAAGAAATGCGTGCAGGAAGCGTATAGCGAGCTGACGAAGGGCGTGAATTCGTTGGAACAATTGTATCTTCTGGGCGACGTGTATATGAAAATGGGGTTCTTTTCGAAGTAAGAAACCGCGGGGAAGGTGAATCGCAGGGCGCGATATCTTTATGAGTACATCAAGAAGACGTTCGATGCAGACGCAGAGGAAAAGCTGAAGCTGGTAGCTGCGAGGAATTCGATCGAATCTAGTGCAATCAGACGGAAACCTTCTGGAACACAGGGCGCAAAGAGTTCGAAAAACAGTCGTTCCGAACGGCCTGGTCGGCGTTCGATCAAGTCCTGCGGGTCTGTTCGAACAATCGGCAGGTGGTGATTTATTATCTGGAGAGCGTGCTGCGCTCAAACGACCGATCGCTTCTGGCGAGCGGGATGAAGCTCCTCAAGGAAGTCATGAACAACGCCGCGAAATTAATCACCTCCTGTGAGAATCGAGAAGGAAAGTGAGAATTAGGGATGTACGAGACGATGTACAGCGATGGCGGCGAGCTGAGCTCCGAATTCCAAGCGAAGCAGCTGTTCCAGCAGGATTACGTGCTTCAAATCACGATGGATCTGTACGACGTCAATCTGGAAACGATCGAGAATTGGAAGAACCGTGTCAGTGATGATCTGGTTTGGGATGGAGCGGGTTTTGATGGCGAAGACGATGTTATTTCTCCGACATCTCTGTCAGAACAACGAACTGGCGTCGTTTCGAAAACTCTGCAATGTGATCGAGAATTGCACGCAGATTCCCCCCGAATTCCACAAATTCTCGCGACTCATGCGACTCATCATTGTTTCCACGCTTCGTTTCTTTGATCCATAGAGTCTAGATGAAGAAGGCAAGAAATATCACAGGCGGAAAATGCATCAGGAATTGTTTTTGACGTATCAACACGCGATGCAGCTCATCGACATTTTCGAAACCACCTTTCCTTACGTCCAGCTCAGCTACCTGCGATCGCTACTCTGCTATTATTGTGCAGAAGTGCAGTATTATCGGAATCGATTCCACGAAGCCATTGGTACTCCGTTTCCACGTTTTGCTTGATAGATTTCTGTGGACGAGGACTGCGATGTTCGTACGCGCTGCCGTTGCTGTATATTCGACGCGCTCGAGCGAATCAGCGAGTCAATCGGATCATCCCGGTACTGGAGAAACGTGGAAACTGAGGCACAGGCGATGTTGGATTACTACGATTACATGCGGAATATGAAAGAAACGGAGCGAAGCGAATCGGATATTTTGAACTGCATTAATAACATGTGGGAGTGAAGAAACGAACTGAATGAAAATAGAAACACGGCAAAAAACGAGTTTCTGAATGTTCGAAACCCGTTCATCGACTTTCTGCGCTATCCAGATAACTTTACGAACGTCGAGGAATTGTAAGCGAATGCGAAAGTCGCGTGAATTCGAAGGGAGCATGAATTCGATCGGGCGTTTTCCTCCATTGTGTGCAAATATCCGTATTATCCTTACACTTACCGTTTCTCCGTTTCTACTTTTTAAGCATAGTGGAGCTGGCTATATTGGCGTTTCGTCGGACCGACTACATTTCGTTCATTGGCTACATGCGACGCTTTAAATCGCTCATGAAACTCTCTGATTTAGACGATCCGCAATGTCATTTCCCCGTAAACGGCAGTTTTTTCACAGGGAGTTTCATTGTAGATATTCGATCCGAACCCATGACTCCGGAAGAAGCGGAGAGTTTAGTGCGGCAGGGAAGCGAAGACCCCACGATGGTGGGCGTGCTAAAAGAGCTGGACGACATTCAATTGAAGACCGTTTCGCTGTTAGAGAAGGGAAAAAAGTCGAGTTTTTTGCCATCGAAAGACAACTGCACGAGTCTCGTTGTACTCGAAATGCAGGCGTATTACTTCTATTGGACGCTGGTTCTGCTGCTGGCTGGGGATTTCTCGAACGCGACGCGGTTTGCGAAGTACAGTGATCGGGTTTATAAATATCTCACGACGTTCCCAAAGGAGCTTCCTCCGCGATATGTGCATCTCACAATCATTGGGAACGTCTCGGACCTTGTTTGTTATGTGAAGAAAACGTTCGAAATCGGAGAGAGTTTGAACCAGAAAGGGAGATACGGAGACTTCCAGATCGCGTTGATTCGAATGTTTGACAAAGCGCCTGCAGGGATCTGCTTCAATCAGCTTTATGAGCGTTCGATTTGGGCTGTTTCTGTTGATTGTAGGGGCGTTCCATCTTGAGGGCGTTCCTGAGGAATCTCCCACGCGTGTCACTCCCATTCCTTCGCGTGTCCATTTGGAATCGGCTTCAGGGCATGTGGATTATCCGTATCCACAGCTGTCGGTTCCAGTGGTTTCAAACTTTTTGATTTCGCGCCCGGTGCTGCTTCAGATCTGCAACACTTACTTGAAAACCGAGAAATTCGCAGATGGAGCCAGCTTGATGGCGCGCGTGTATCCCCTACTGCTTTCGAACGATCTGCAAATGAGGCAGAAAGCGAATCGCGCTGCCGAGGTGAGGATTCCGCAAGAGAAGATCTTCTCAATGCCATGTCAGTTGATAACGAAGGATTTAGGAACGGTCTACACAGACAAATTCGTCGATCCTGAGCTTGTATTGTTTTTTCTTTGCGTTGGACTTGAAGATTTTATACACACTAAAGTTCCTGCTTCTCTCCAATCAGTTCCGCAAGGCCGATCTTATCTTCTCGATTCTCCCTCTGGGAATGAGCTACGAACCCGACTTCGTCATTCTCTATGTGTTTTTGACGGCGATCGGAGTAGGAAAGGAACGAATTCTCGAGTCTAGAGCGATTTGGTGAAGGATTCGAAGGACTGGCGCGAGATCATCTGCAATTACAAACTCAACTGTGAAAAGAATTGCGACTTAATCGACCTGATCTCCGAAGACCTCTACAGCGTTGCCCTTCCCCTTTCGATTCATTCTTCTAGAAAGTTCCGAAGCTGTCAGCCGAAGAAATCGTGAAACTGGAAGAAGTGAAGGAGCTCATGAAAAACCAGCAGTGGAAGAAAGCCGACGAGATCATCAGCGAAGTGGCTCCCAAGCATCCCTACTGCGCCTCCTTCGCTGAAAACATCGCGATCTGCGAGATGAATGAAAACAAATACTACAACGCGGTCGGAGAACTCAAAGAACTTGTCAAAGAAGTCCCGCATGGCGTTCATTACTTCTATCTTCTCTCCAGAGCCTACGCAGACATCGGCAATCTGCGATTGTTCGCACGAAACGCCTTTTCTGATATGTAGAAGCCATCAGTACTACGATTACTACGTTTACCGCGTGAAACGAAGCAAAGCGGGCGGCAAACCCGAGCCCATTATACTCGTTTCGTTCCTGTGGATGGGTTTGATGCGATAGAATCCGGAGATTGAGCACCAATATTTCACGCTAAATCTCGAGAATCCGGAAGCCGCGATTCCAGTTCTAAAAGAATTCATCGCGATGTGTCCATATAGTCGCGAAGCTCACATCAAATTGCTGCATTGCTATTATTCGCTGAGCGATATTGTGGCATTGAGCCATTTGCTTTCGAAGTTAATGCATCACTTGACCGAGTTTTTATCGACCAGTTCGGAATTTGATTGCTTTTTTTTATTTGTAGCAGTGGATGAAAACGTCGCGGCTTCGGCCCGGCAAACGATGTTTAATCCAGAGAAGCTTCTGCCCACGTATTGTTTCGTCGATGAGAATTTAACGCTGATCAAAGAAGACAAAGAAATCGTTCGTTTTTTTGGAATGTCCTCAGTAGTTTTTCTATTTCATCCGTCTTCTTTTCCTTCGGAATGAAATCCCGCTCGTGCGAACCCTCCTCAAATTCTACGAGAAGGACCTGAAATACTATTTCGCTGAGAGTCCTGCGGGCATTTCGAATGTGATCCACGAGGGGAGCAAGCAGATCCACGATTCCACGAAACTGCATTCCACGTTTGTCATCAAACGAAACAGCTTCGCGAACTTGGATCACGAGAACGGTCTGCATCCATTGGACTCGATCCAGCGACGATTTCCTTTCTATGTGCTGATCAAAGCAGCCTCTCAAATCATTGCCGAAATCACAAAGAAGAACGGAGATGGGCAGCACGATGAGAAAATGAAAGCATCGAACGAGGTTGCGATTCTGTCAGACATGATAACGTTCGTCAATACTGGGTTTTTCTTCAATGAGGATTTGAGTATGCGATTTGTACGAGCGCAGCTGCTGTATAAGAGAGCGAAGCGGCGAATGGAGATGTTGGATTTGAAGAACGCTTCTGCGGATTGTAACGAGGCGTTGAATTATGACGCTGCGTTGTTGGATTGTTATCTGATGACGGCGAGGATTGAGAAGAGCTTGAAGAATTATCATAATGTAGGGAAGAGGAAGGAAGTCGATTGTAGGCCAGCTTGTATTATAAGACCTTTATCTTGAAGGGGAAGATGTCGCCGGACCTGCCTACGGCGATCCGAGAGTATGAGGAGATCCGAAAATTGTTACACTTGGATGAAACAAAGATTTGAAGTGTTTGTTGACATGAAAGGTGGGGAGAGAGCGAAGGAATGGATATTTGTATGTATATAAATACATTTATGGTATCGGAATTCTGCGATATCAACCATTCCTCCAAACGTAAAAAGCAAAGCATCCCATGCATTCCCTTGTTTTTCGTAACAAACAATCCACAACAAAATAGGAACAGCCTAGAAGCTTAGAAGCACTTTCTGTGGACAATCGTAGGACCCGCCTCGTCGTACTCAGACTTGGAAATCCACATGTTGTGGAAGGAAGACAGACTACCCAGCATGGAGCCTCCAATCCACACCATGTACTTACGCTCAGGAGAAGCGAGAACGGACACCTTGATGCTAGGAGGAGCCAGAGCCAGCAGCTCCTTGTGCATACGCTCACCAATTCCAGGGAACATGGTGGAACCTCCAGAAAGAATCACGTTGCTGTAGAGCTCCTTACGGATATCCACATCGCACTTCATGATGGTCGAGTAGGTGGCATCGTGCACACCTCCGTGACGAAGCTCCTTACCTAACAAAGAGGGGTTGAACAGAGCCTCGGGCACACGGAAACGCTCGTTTCCAATGGTCACGATGTTTCCATCGGGCATCTCGTACGACTTCTCCACCACCGAAGACTCCTCGGCCAGCTTCATCTCCTTGTCGAAGTCCAGAGCCACGTAGCACAGCTTCTCCTTCATGTCACGCACAATTTCACGCTCAGCAGTAGAAACCAGACTGTATCCACGCTCGGACAAGATAGTCTGCATGTACTCGGTCAGATCACGACCAGCCAGATCCAGACGCAAAATGCAATGAGGAAGCGAATAACCCTCGTAAATGGGGACAGTGTGAGAAACACCGTCACCGGAATCCATCACGCAACCAGTGGTACGACCCGAAGCGTACAGAGACAGCACAGCCTGAATCTGGACGTACATGGCAGGCACGTTGAACGTCTCGAACATAATCTGAGTCATACGCTCTCTGTTCGCCTTAGGATTCAAAGGAGCCTCGGTCAGAAGCACAGGATGCTCCTCAGGAGCGACACGCAGCTCATTGTAGAAGGTGTGATGCCAGATCTTCTCCATATCGTCCCAATTGGTCACAATTCCGTGCTCAATGGGGTACTTCAGGTTCAGCACTCCTCTCTTCGACTCAGCTTCGTCTCCAACGAAGTGATCCTTGTTCTCCATGCCCACCATGTACACAGGGTGCTTGGGACGTCCCACAATCGAAGGGAACACGGCGCGAGGAGCATCATCTCCAGCAAATCCAGCCTTACACATGCCGGAACCGTTATCAATCACAACAGACTGTATCTCTTCCATGGTAATAAAATATTTTATGTGAATTCACCCAAAGTTCGATTCCGGTGAGTTCCAGTGATATTTCCTATAATTACGAAGAGTTCTACTTTCGAAACTAACGATCACACAACAGTATCGGTATGATCGTTAGACCAGTATAATTCGGTTGATTTCATTTTTGAGAATTTGCAAAAACCAATATAGCAGAACGAGCAACCATGGGAAAGGGAATCGAACGCGAGTATGTCAAAAGGCAAACAAAAGAAAAGTATCCATTTATTGATAGTGAATTCGATTTTCTTGCCACATGTATTGGTCGATACGCCTCACATTTTCAGAATGACATAGCTTGTTTTCGTCAAGTTTTCAATTTCTCGTCGAAAACTGGAATTCCACTTTTCGATAAGACACTATTTTTTCTTTATACAGTTCGCTAGATCTTAATATTGGGTATATGGTGCTGAGCTACCTTCGAAACGAAACATATCATCCTGAGAATTATATCAATTTGAATTTTGAAAGAGATCCCAATTATTTGGCTCGTGGGAGTTCTTTTCGGTTGCTGGTACAGCATGGCGATCTTATTTCGTACGTCAAAGATGATACTGGTTTGGTTGTGAAATCTCCTTCAATGTGTCATGTCTTCAAAGCTCAAGCATCAATAACCGATCTAGCGCTATCAGAAAGGTTCGTGGCTATAAAATCTGGTATCTATATACTAATCCTAAAGATTTGTGAGAATAGCGATATTGTATGTTTGCAGTTAGTTTTCCTAATGTAGTTGGAGCTCGCCTATTCCATAGTATGCGATTCAGAAGCTCCTCAGTCCTTTTGTTTCTCGAAGTTGGATCCTACTGAAGTTATATTAATTTTCCCTCATTGCTACTATTGTTTCAAAATAGCGTACAATGGAAGTATTATGTACAGTTCCATTTCTGCCTTACGGAATTCTCATTCTGTCAAGAAAACGTGTTTTAGAAGCGGAAGTTCTTCGATGGTCACTGTTCAGCGTAGAAAATCAGACGACATTATCGTTCAGCAGAACCGAGTACGCTTCCCCACCAACCGTCTACTTCTAGATTTTTTCTGGAGACTACTGCTATCTCTTTTTAGAACATGCTCGGATCATCGATGCAGCTTTCGCGGACGAAGACACACTCTATGTGCTCATCGAAGAATCCTGGGACGACCAAGACTCTCCTGTCTATCAGATTCAGCGCATTGTTTTCTCTCAAAACTCCGCATCGCTCGTGAAGCTCTCCAAAGATGCCTTTCCTTCGCCTCCACAAATGCTCACTCCTGATTCACAGAGCGTGTTTCTCTGGTATCCTGACCAGAACTCCTTCCATTTACTGCTGTTCGGAGAGCACGTCCAGAAGCTCCAGTTCGCCTGTAACATCGAACTGAACGAGCTGTCTATTGTGGATCACAACGGCTTTCGTAGCGTCGAGTGTATTCTCTGAAGTGTAGAGATTTGCTGCGTGTCGAACTCCGAACTCTTTTGCTGTACGCTCGCCTCGGATTTCTTGCAATCGTTAACAGACAACGAAGCGTTTTCCTCTGAAGAAGTAGAAGAAGAAGATGAAGATGAAGAAGAAGTAGAAGAAGAAGAAGAAGAAGAAGTAGAAGAAGAAGATAATGAAAATGATGATGAAAATGAAGAGGAGGAGGAAGAAGAAGAAGAAGAAGTGGATTCGATGAGCCATATCGATGATATTTACGACGGAATCGGTATGAACGATTCGCTCCTTCCTCAGATCTCCCATCGCACGATCGAGTCCAATCTTCGCGAGCTCGAAGACTACTCCGAAGACTTCACTTCCTACCTCCAGTCGGTCAACGGCGTCACTTCCATAGCCACCGAGGGCGATCCGCTTCTTCTCGACGAGCTCATCCACCCTGCGAAAGAGTTCCGTCCGCGCCCCACGCTCCAGTTCTGCGGAGAGCCGTTCGATCTCCTCACGGGCATCGAGAATTGCGCTCCCGTCCAGGGAATGCCCATCGCGACGCGCGAGCTCCAGCCCTCCTCGTTCTTCGAGTCTTCTCTCTTCCCTTCCCTTCTCGCTTCCGCTTCTTCTTCTTCTTCTTCCACGCTCTCTGCGTCGCCTTCTGGGTCTCCGCTGCCTTCCAAGCCCTTCGCGTCCTCCAAACCTGCCGACGTGGTCTCGCTGTTCTCGGACGGACTCATCGACGAGCCCTCCGATCGCCACGACCCCGTGCAGCGCCTCGACCTCGCCGATCTCTTCGCGTCCAAAACCTCCGAGCAGAAGTCGTTCTTCCATCCATCGCCCTGCCCTTGTCCTGAAACGTTTTCCAAGACCAGCTCGATGCCCATGGGAAGGGAGGTCAGCATTTCTTCGCTCTTCGGCGATCCCTCGCAGTCCCCCGCCCTCCATCCCAATCAGCCCAACCAATCAAAGCAAACGAAGCAGGCGAAGCAGACCAAGCAGGCGAAGCAAACGAAGCAGGCAAAACAAACCAAACAGACCAAACAGACCAAGCAGACCAAGCAGACGGGTCCATTGGGTCAAAGTGGTCAAAGTGGTCAAAGTGGTCAAAGTGGTCAAAGCGGCCAGATTGTTCAGAATGGTCCGTTGAGCCAATCAATGAACCAGTCAGCGAATCGGACTCGGCAGAGCTTCCTCAATGCCTACGCTCACAAGCTCAAAACGCTGGCCGAGCAGCCCGAGCGGCAGGCGCTGGCGTCGCTCCCACAGGCGCTGGATACGCGGATTGGGAGCTTCTTCATCAACGAATTGGCTCCGATGATCGAGAGCGTGATTGATGACTTGCTGGGTCGCTTGCCGCAGCTCCCTGACGCCGAAATGGCCTCGCGAATCGAAAAAGTGGCGAGCGACATGCACCAGATTCGAGAGGCCGGGGAGAAGTTCGTGGTGTCCGTCTTTTCAGAGTCCATTCCAAGCCTGATTCAGGAGAACAAAACGAAAGAGCTTCTGCTTTCGGTAATTCCAAAAATAGGGGGTTATTTGTAGATGGCCGGATTGGCTGACGAGGAGGTTGCGAAGAAGGTGGTGAGTCTGTATAACCCGGAGTGGCTTCACGCTCCTTTCAGCATTGTGGAGATTTTAGAGATTATGAAAATCGTGGGGATTTTTGGAATTCCTCATTGCTAGGTGAGCGGGAATCTCTATGATCAGACCAGTCGGAGAGTGAATATGATGACCGATCTGTTGTTCAAGATGGATATGAGGCATCAAGAGAAAGAGAAGGAACATCAGCTGAGCTTGGCGATCTTGCGACAAATCGACCGGTTTATACAGAGACTGCAAAGTCTGGAGAACCAGGAATGTGCGGATAGCAACACGCTGTATGCTTTGAAGGGCATTCGCCGTGCGATAAGCCACTTTTAATCTGTTTGAGATACAAATTTGCTTTTGCGTATTTTTTGGACAACGATTTTGAATCAGAATGTCCTTTCTAAATTGGAAGAAGCGGGATTCCTCCGAGTCTGAAGAGAGCGCAGATATTGAAACACTGCTATCTGAAATCGAGGGTTCGACGTATCTTGCTGATAAACGAGATGCATCTAAAGAATTAGCTGTATGTTGCAAGTTGGAGGCATACCTTTTAAGAGCGCAGTGCGTGAAGATCCTATCACTGGAGCCGAACTCTGTATCCCTACGCTCTTCACATATATTGTTGACTACGCACAAGATTCTGAGCTGCTCCAGAACTTACTCGATGTTCTCTCCATTTTAGTCAAAGAATCGTTTTACAAGGGAAACGAAGCGATCGTTGGGAAGAACGTGGAAAGTTTATTTGCAAATGCAGACACACTTCGTGTTTTGTTCGGGCAGTTTAGCAATGAAGATATGTACTCGCGTTTAGTCGTTATTGATATTCTAAAATGGTCTCTCAAAGTGAATCGGGTAGATTTTACACTGGATTCTAACGATTCAGAAACTCGTGGGAGATTGTATCAGTCAAGACCCGCTAGCTCTTCAACAGCTCGTAGATTGTCTGAACGACAACCGCGAGGAAATTCGGAATGATCTTCTTGTTGTCTTGCTTCTCCTTGTCGAGCAGTATCCAGATATAGCAAACTTCATCGCATTTCAAGTACTTTTTTATTCTAGTTGTTTGTTTGCTTATGCTTAGGACGGATTCGACATGCTTTTTCACATTATCGCATCCGAATCAGGCGTGGTGAAGCGAGACTGCCTCAAAATGGTGTATTTTATCATGCATAAAAACCTTGTTACAATGAAACTCCTTTCGCAACGTTTTCTTCTTTCTTTGTAATAATTGATGCATAGTTTCTTATTTACAACTCATCATGTCAAACATTTGCATCAATTCGCTCTTATCAGTCCAACAACAAGAGTTTCAAATCATCGACTTTTCTGTGTATTCCACAATTCTCGACAAAAACGAGGATCCATCGAGTGAAACTCCCTTTTCAATCCAGCTGGACATTATTCGCTACTCCATCTTCGTTTCTCCAATTGAGGAGTCTCATCCTATAGATGATTGAAGAACTAACCGATCTAGCGATGATTGATGGCTCCCAAGTCGCCGATAATGCGAGTGTGTTGATTATAAAAAACAATATCAAACTCATTAGCAAAGTTTTTCTTTTCTCATAGATCCAAAATAGACCGAACATTGGGAATTTTTATTATTGTCTTCTATTCTATTCGACATCTATCTTGGCGTTACATCCTCCAAAAAGCCATCCAATTCACAGCTCACCGCGATTCTTTCCGACTTCGCTCATCGCAGCAAGTCCGTTTTTCTTCGCTCCATTCGACGTATCCTTCTTCGTTTCTCCTTATGTACAGTGATGTCTTCCGTTGATAGTCTTCAACAAATCGACGTTATGGACGCCGGAAACCAAATCTCCCTTCTAAGCTACCTGCTTCACACCTACTTCCTTTTCCCAGATAACCAGGCCAATGAGAGCCTTTTGATCGAAATGCTGGCTTCGAACGTGCTGGTGAGCGACGCGGTTATCAATCACACGCGTTCCTCCGGAAAATACTTGCTCCAAATATTTGCCAAAGCCATTTTTGCGAAAAATTCGGACGGAGAAATCAATCGGAATTTTGTCAGAGCCTCGGATATTTATCTTCTCTGCTGCAAAGTAGGATTGAAAAGAGGAAAATGAGGGGCAGCAAGATCCCTCCTTTTTTGAAGCGATCTCCATCAATGGGCAGAAATCCGTCCGATTTTTGCTGGACTGCATAGCCAATCATTTCACTCAGATTGACACTCCTGTCATGGTACGTCTTTTTCTGGAATTCCAAAAATAGTGCCGAATTGTTCACATTCTGTTACTAGTTATCGATCTCCATAGCGAAATAGTGAGTCAAATTTTGCAAGACGTTCCCTACATCGTTTCGATTATGGAGCTCGCTCACAATCAAGCGCAGGATTATAAAAACGAGGGTGAACGAAAGCAAATCGATTGAGGAATAGACGAAGGACGAAAAATCGGCGTGTTGTGCGTGTTGTTGATGAGTTTGTGCAACCATAACAGGGATGAGACACTCGACTTTCTTGGATTGCTACAGAAAATCACGGGAATGGGAGTGCTGACCTCCTTTGCGTTGATGCTCACCTCCCAAACTTCCTTGGAAACCGCGGGACTCTCCAACCAATCGGAGCCTGCGAATCGATTGATGTGTTTGTTGACCCCAAAGTTGATTGTAGAAACTCCACAGAATTCTTGGACGAATGCAACAGCGAATTCTATTCCTTCCGACAGCGAGTCGTCGATCATTACCTCCAGATTCCCGCGGGAGAAGAGAGTGACGTATTGAAGGAATTCAAGAATCTGATTCGCTCGCAGGATTTGGAAATCAAGCAACTGAAAATCCAGCTTTCTGCTGGAGGAAACGTAGAATCAGAGTTTTAAAAGTCAAGAATAGAAAGAAATGGTGAATTGGGCGAAGATCGCAGAGGAACGCGAGAAGCAAATTAGGGAAATGGAGCAGCGAATCGATGAGTTGACCTTCGAAAAGTCTGAGTTAGAAACGAAGTTCAATGAATTGGAGAAGGAAAAGGTGGAAATTGAAACGATGTGGAAGGAGAAACCCGTTTTGGAAGGCGATTCAGCGGAGCAGATTAGTGAGTTGGAGATGCTGATTGGAAGCTTGCAGAGTGAGAATCGAATGCTTCGACAGAATCAAAGCCAGATGGACAATCAAGAGATTGAGAAGATGAAGGGAGAGCTTGAAACGATGAAGAACCAATTGAATACGCTGGAGACGGAGAAGGAAAAGCGTTTGGTTCGCTAAAGGAAGTGAATTGTAGAGCAGAAAGAACTGCAGCAATGCGCAGAGACGATTCAGTCGCTCGAAAAGCAGGTGGAAAACGCGGCAGCGAAGGAAGCAGGTATTTGTTGTGGATTTTCTCGATTGTAGAAAGCTCGAAAGAAAAAGAGACGCTTGCTAGCGAGTTGGAAGCGAGTAAAGACGAAGCATCGCAGCTTGAAATGGAGCTGAGTGATGTGCGCGCAGACTTGCTGAAGTTGCAGGGAGAAGAAGGCGTGCTTGCGACGGAGTTGAAGCAGGTTTTGACTTGCTTGCAGCAATACTATGTCGAGAATGAAGTGCTGAAGAAGGGAGTTTTGCAGCTAGGAGGGGATGAAGTGCTGACGAAGTTATTAACGTCGAGTAAAGATGTGAGAGATCAATTGTATACAACAAAGCCAAAATCAAAACCTTCATAAATTGAAAATGGTATTTTAAAAATTAAGTATTTGTTATTACTACTATTACAATTACTTTGATTACTTCGATTACTATTATTATGTTTTTATAAATAATAATATTGTTTTTTAACATGAAACATAAATGACTAAACTACCTATAAATCCATTGTTTGTGCAATTTCCTACAAAATCAAACAACAGAGATCACTTCCTACTTTCATTTTGTCTTGTGCAGAATGATACAGAGAATCCTGCTCCATGCAAATCCGCACAATCTGTTCATATTTCACAATACATTCATTCAATGTGAGGTCTTTCCACTTCGTATTCATTTTCTCAATCAGCTTTGCAGCTTGTTTCTGATCTGCTTCGGTCACACAAGCAGGTTCCACCATCATTTTCTCATTCTCTTTTTCTTTTTCTTTTTCTTTTTCTTTTTCTTTCTCTTTCTCTTCTTCTTCCACCTTCTTCGCTCCCCGCTTTCGTTTCTGCGGCGATGCGATCGGTTTCGACTTTGCCTTCTCCATTTTCTTTGCTTCCTCTCTTCGAGCCAAGATTTCCTCACATTTCTTAAACAAATTGTATCCCAACTTCTTCTTAAACCGATGAACCATCGATTCCACCTCATCCACCATCGCAGCCGCCGCTCGAATAATCTTTCTTCCAGAAGATGTGTTCGGATTGTACTCCTTCGCATTGTCCTGAATCAAAATGATGTCTTTCATGAATCGTTCTAGTGACGTATATTCCTTTTTATCCACCGTAGTGAACATCATATCCAAACACATCGGGTTCTTGATGATATCGTAATAATCCGGAACGTCTTCCTCTTTCACCAGCTCCACAAAGCAGCGATAGCGCGGATTGCGTCGCAATTCGTACAGCACTTCGCGGAAAAAGATGCGAAGTTCGCGGAGATAGTGCTCTTCTCGTTCTTTCAGAACCGCTAATTCGCTTTCAGTGAGTGCGGGCTGCGTCTTCGCATCCTCCACTTCCAAAACAGGAAGCGAAGGAGCAGCGGACGGAGCCGTGCAAGTGCGTGTAAGAAGAGGGAAAAGAGTGGAAAAGAGGGAAGAATGATCCAATGAGGATTCGGAGAGCGAGAATACTCGAAACGTGTTTTCCGAAAACAAAGAAGTGATTTCGATCTCCTCCCCCACCCCCGTAACCAACACAAAAATCGGGTGTGTGGGGAGAAAAGCGTCCAGACCCTTCTGCAAAAGCGAAAGAGCCTCTGGATACACGCCACTCCAATCATTCAAATGAGGCAAATACAGAACCGAAGGCGCGTTTCGGTACGCCTCGCTGAGCGTGTTCGAAAGCGTTTCGTGAATCGATCCATCGCGCCAAGCACTCAACAAATCGAATTGGGTGATGTGGCAATGATCGATCGAATGGAGAAACGCGGACGCCAGCGAATCGACGAGCAACGCAGTGTGTCCCACGACCAACAACCGCGGGGAAAAGCACAGCGGACTCGACGAAACCAGCGATATCTGCTTGGGAGTGGAAGAGAAATAGGGAAAGAGCGCATTGGCTTCGCTCTGCAAGCACTGCAGCGGCTTTTCGAGAAGAGAACGAAGATACGAAGGAAGCGGCTGCGAATGGTGCGGATTGGACCGCTGCGAACACGGCGTAATCCGACTCAACGCGCAGTGGAAGTCGTCCAATCCCACGCGAACGTGATCCGGATCGATGCGAAGCTTCGCTGAGGTCGCGTAGATCTGCGGATACTCGCGATGCAGAGCGCAGAGAGCTGCTTCCGTACAGAGAGCTTTCAAATCTGCGCCAGCAAAACCGGAAGTTCGCTCGGCGAGCGACTGCAAAACGGCGGGATCGGGAGCGGGGACCCAGGTTTTCGTGTGGATTTTGAGGATCTCCAGACGCGATTCGAGGTCGGGGAGATCGAAAAGCATCTCGCGATCGAATCGTCCGGGGCGTCGAAGCGCTGGATCGACGGTATCGACGCGATTGGTGGCTCCGATCACGATGACTTGGCCACGCGAGTCCAATCCGTCCATCAACGCGAGTAGCGTGGAGACAATCGACGAATGGATCTGGTCCTGCTTGGACGAGCGCGTCGGCGTCAATCCGTCGATCTCATCGAAGAAGATAATGGACGGCTGATACACGCGCGCCTGCTCGAAGAGCAAACGAAGCTGCCGTTCCGCTTCGCCGACCCATTTGCTCAAACAATCCGCGCCTTTCCGCATGAAGAACGAAATCTTCTTTCCGCCCTACGCGTTACGACGATGAACGGAGGCAACAATCGAGCAGCTGTTGCACAGCGCGCGAGCGACGAGCGTTTTGCCGGTACCCGGAGGGCCGACGAAGAGAACGCCACGCGGAGGGGAAACGTGGAACTTTTGGAAGACTTCGGGGTAGAGGAGAGGCAGCACGATCATTTCTTTGAGGGCTGTAATGTGCTGTTTGAGGCCTCCAATGGAGTCCCAAGAGATCGATGTGTCGACGCTGATCGGCGTCGCGTCGGCTTTCAACAAATCGCGTTTGGAGGATTCCGCGTTGAGCGGCTGGATCATATCGATGAGTTCTTTGCGTCTGCGTTTCTCGGCGTGAGCGAAGGAGGATTCATCCGAAGAAGAAGACGACGAGGAAGAAGGTGAAGAAGAAGAAGAAGACACGCTGGCTTTGTTGTTCGTGTGATGATGAAGGCCTGCATGAGAGAAGGTATCGAATCCATTACGCCGTCGCGTGGTTCTGCGTGTTGGATGGCGAGGCGGCGTGTGGGTGAATTCGAATGGATGGAATTTCTGGGAAACAGGGAAACGGAGAAGCGTACGGGACGGTTATGTCGCATGGAGTAGCGTTTGGAGGAAGGATGCGAGGAATCGGAACCGGGGCCGGACACATCGAGAAGACTCTGCGGATCAGAAAGGGGATCAAAATAAAAACAGCTGATGAATCATGCGAAGTTTGCTTGGGTTTTGATGATTGTGTTGATGTATGTGGATGTGATGTAGAAGAAGAAGAAGAAGAAGACTGTGTTACAATACGATTGAAAGGCATACAGAGGACGAGCTGCTGTCCGTATCGTAACTGGAGCCTGCGAAGGCGCCGCTGTTGTCGCTGTCGCTCGAATAGGAGCTGTCGACGCTCTCACTGTCGCTGCTCTGAATACTGGAGAGGTTGGAAGTAGAAGGGGCCGAGGGTTTGGACTTCGAGGGTTCGGCAGCTTTAGGATGGGAACGTTTCCCAGTACTTTTCTTGGTTGAAGATTGGTAAGGGGCGTCGATCACATGTTTGGATCGTTTCTAATGTGTAAAGAGCAGCGAAGAAGAGAATTTACCCGCAATGGGTAACGCGAGTCTCCAATATAATGACTTGCTTCTTCTGCTACTAGGTTATAAGAAAATATCGAAAAAGAATACAGAAGTCCTCAATACTCTTTTCAACGTCACTGCCTGATTTGTTGTTCTCGATTTCACTAGAAGTAAAAGAAAAAGAATATTTCTCTTACGACCCATGCAAAGCAGATTCTGAACCTGTGGTTGAACCATCATCATCGGAGGAAGAAGTGATCATAAGCTACTTGGGAGAATTATCAGACTTTATACGACTTCCTTTGGACGACTTGCTCTCTTTCTTATTTTCATTCGAAATATACTCAATAGAAAAAGACTGGCTGCTTTCTTCACAGATAGGAGTTTTGCCGCTCTTTCTTTATTCCAGAAAAATGTATTTCGGATTTATTTGCATACTCTTACTCTCCACGGTGCATGTTTGCACTTTAGAAAGAGCTAAGAAGCAGTATCCAATTAGAGAGACTCGTCGAGACAAATCGTTGACAATTAGCCTAACACATGCATTCTCCAACAATTCGGATATAGCGGCCATTCTTAAAAAATACCAGGTGCCTCTTTCATCTCCCAATCGTTTCTGTTGATTTTACACACAAATTTACAATGGCTAAGTCAAGGTCGGGCGCTAGCTCAAGGAGAGTGAGTGGGAGCAATATCAAAAGGCAGTATCTTGCTAAACTGGAAGATTGGGAGCTTGAGGGAAAGTCATCCCATATTGTATTTTGCATATTACATTTCACATACAGCCGTTCTTTTGCGCAATTGCTGTACAAATCGTGTATCTATTTACTGTTAATCCTACAATCGTCGGAGGTGACAATGGAGAAATTGTCACAAATACCGTTCAGTTGGGAATGATACACTCTCCAGGTAGAAAAGAGCCAATCCTTGTTCTGTAGGTTATCCCCTGATTACCTTGGTTGGACATCTTTTCTGGCGATGCTTCAGTTGGATCGGGAATCCAGCGCTGGTGCTTAACATTTTAAGTACTATCTTTGCTTCTGCAGCTGTATTCTTCCTCTCATCAACGATCTTCTGCTTAACAGATGGAGACAAATGGAGCTCGGCCATTTTTCCTTGTACCCATTTCATTCTATTTTCACGCAGTGCTCCTATCCTTTGGTCAGACCTTTTGGATTCAATCGGTGCAATTTGAAGTCTTCACTCTAAACAATTTATTCATCTGCATTGTTTTATATCTCACTGTGAAGTTCTATTATTACTACTGGAGAGAAGAGAATCAACATCGTAATCGTATTCGAAATAGTGTTTAAAATAGTGTTCCGAATTGCATGCTACGGAGCTTTTATCTCTGCTCTGTCCCTCTGCAATCAGCACACGATTGTTTTTTACTTATTCCCAATTATTCTTTCCATTCTCTACCTTCTAATCAAATCGCACGAACTCACCACCAAACGTTTTTTCCAACTCACACTCCTGTTTTTCGCAGGATTACTGCCCTATGCTTACTTAGTCATCGATTCGTACTTCCCAAAGAAAGCCAGTTGGGGCGATGCACACACTTTATATGGTAAAAATAGCCCCGATTTTTGACATAGGATTTTTCAATCATCTCCTTCGATTGGAGTACGGAACCTTCCGATTATTCGCGGGAGATGAATCGAAGAAATCGGGCGAAATGTTCCTTTCCGGAATTCTGCACTATTTTTCCGGTTCTTGGCGAGTGAGAATAGGATTGGCTGCTTATTTCTCAGAATTTGTTTGGGTTCGGGTTTTTGTGTTCGTTGATCGGGTTTTCGGTTTGCTTTCACAGCAGAGAAACAAGCCAGCGAAAAGAGGAAAAGCAGGTTTTTGATCTTCGTTGGGTCTACTGGCTAATCGCGGGAATTTACACTTTTTATATAGGGGTGTTTCATTATCTGGCGAATCTTCCGCTTTCCACCAATCCGCTTTTTGTCAGCGTTCAGGAGCGATTCTGGATGCAAGGCTTTATCGTCATTTCGATTTTCGCGGGAATCGGATTTTCCCTGCTTTGTATCAGATTCCCGCGGTACTGTACATGGCTCCGCGTGTGCGGCGTACTGTGTGTCGTCCTGCAGTTTTTGCTAATGTCTCCGAAAGTGGTGTTATTGACTCGAAATAACGACACATTGCTTCAATTGGGTCGATCGGAGCTGGAATTGCTTCCTGAAAACGCGATTTTCTTGGTGTTCGGGGATTGTCAGCAGAACGCTGCGATGTATCTGCAGCAAGCGTTGCACGAGCGAATGGATTTGGACATCGTGTATCTGCCCTACGCTTCGTACATGTGGTACAATCGAACGCAGCTGCCGCTCTATCCGAACATCACGTGGCCAGGGACGGTCTATCACGAACTGGGGAGCATTCTCAAAGGAGAAGGCGGGAATGCGTTTAATTTGAAGTCGAGCCACGCAGAGAAATGAACACGTAGAGAATTCATCGATGCGAATATCGGCAAACGACGCATCTTCATTCCCTCGTGGGAGAGTCGCAGCGATCGTCCCGTCGATTCCTACATGCTCTTTCCGATCGGCGTCGTCAACGAAGTCGATGAACCACACAGAATTGACCGTAGATCAAACCGATCGGATCGATTCCGGACCGAATCTGGGCGGAAACGGCGGTCCGCGCGTTACAGATGTACAATCTCACCGGCGAATATCCTGTCGGAACGTGGGAGAATCAGTTCGTCACGACGAAGGGGCAGGTGCAAATGGTGGAAACGGGGAAGGAGGGTGAGGAATAGGAGTTCGTGGAGTTTTTGCTGAATAAAATCGATGTGATGCGACTTACAGACTTCGAAAAGCGAGTAGAAAAGGGTCAGCTGATTGACTTGGTAGCGATTCCTTCGGTTTGCGGAGCAGCTTTTGGTGGATCGCATTCGTTCGAAGAACTTCTATGGAATCGAATACTATTTCTTGGGCGTGATTTACCAGAAATATGGGGAGTTGGAGCCGAAGATCTCGAATGTGAGTGGTTTTTCGTCGTGTGTGATGATTGAATCGTTGCGGAGATATGTGAAGATTACGAAGATTTCGAGTGGGAATGTGGAGATGGCGAAGAAGTTGATTCAATACTTTGACCAGCGATGTGTTGAGTTTTGGAAGGATAACCCGGAGATGTGGATTGATTTTGAAAACCTTCCATATTCGATTCCGGATTATTCGAATTACGAACACTATTTATGAACTGTTTATTATCCAAACAATTGAACTAATCACTGAAACTACGACTTCGTTTGCGAGGTTTATTCTCTGGTTTTTCATCTTCTTCGTTATCATCGCTAAAGCTTCGAGTACGACGTTTTAATGCAGGCTTTTCTTCTTTTTCATCGCTATCATCACTAAAGCTCCGAGTACGAGGCTTCAATGCAGGCTTTTCTTTTTCTTCTTCGTCACTAAAGCTTCGAGTGCGGGGCTTTAATGCGGGCTTTTTATCATCCAGTCGTGAAGCTACCCTTTCTTCATCCGGTCTAGCTTGATTTTGTTCTATCTTCCGATCAGAGACACGATTCGAAGGTTCCAAATCATGCTTTTCCTGATTTCGATCCAATGAACTATATGTATGGGAAGCGTGTCTTCTCTTTGATTCGCTGCTGGATGAACGATGTCTGGAATGACGTCTTCTGGATCTGCTCTCACTTCTACTGCGACTTCTACTGCGACTTCTACTGCGACTGCGATGTCTTCTTGAACGATGGTGACGGTGATGACGGCGATGGTGATGACCCTCTTCTTTCTCCTCCTTCTCTTTCTCTTCCTTGTCCTTCTCTTTTGGAGGACGATAATCCCTTTTGTGATCAACGCACACAATACGACCCAGTAACTACACTATTCAACAACAAAATAATATACCTCCATTCCCGAAAAATTATCTACCGCCAAAACACAGCTCAGCCAATTCTCATATCGTAAGAAGCCAAATCCCTTTGATTTTCCAGTGTCATGATCTCGAATCAAATTTATGTCTTCAACCTCTCCCCATCTGCCAATAATAGCAATTTCCAAAAACCTACTGGGAAAACATGCAAATAATATCTCCTTCACTTAATTCTGGGGATATTCCTCCAAAATATATCCATGGACAATCTTTATAAGTCTGATGCCACGAACAATCAAAAGGAGTATCATTTTCCAGTTCCTTTTCATTCAACCGCAATACCTCCCTGATATTGTTCATGACCTATCAATTTCTCTCCAAGAACGGAAAATGTGACTGCAATTCAAATTAGAAACAAACTCATCCTTAAAAGACACATTATTCCCAACAAACAATCCATGTAAAGTAGCCCTTAATCTTCTCCGCAGCGCTCAATCCCAAAGAGTAGGCATTACTCGTCAGCGACGACACCACCGACGGCTGTGTGCTCTGTGTGTTCGTTTCCCCATAGTACTGAGCACTGCTGATGCTACGCGCCCCTGCAAATTGCTTCAGCTTCTCCCGACCTTCTCTTTCATCATACTTTCATTCAATTCCTTCATTTTTCTCTACCTGATCTCTTCCAAAATACTGATCGCTGCTAATTCCCTTGCAGCCCTTAAACCGATCTGCTGCTGACATTCCAGAAGGCGTCTCTGCGTGTCTATATTACAATCCGCGATCGACCTGTACGCTGCCGAACTCGCGCTGGCTTCCGTCTTCTACAAATCACAGCGCTTTCCTACCCAAACCTTCTCCAAAACCAACGACGTCGACAGCTTCGCAGCCTGCGACTCTTTGGAAGTCGGCTTCGCCGCGGCTATCGGTTCAATGGTGGCTGTGGCGCCCAATTTCTTCCCGCCAAGACCGCGCCGCAAGGCGGGCTTTTTCTTTGCGAGAGAATTCCCGCTGGAGGCAAGTGAGGGCTTGTCTTCGTGGAGAAGGAACGAGCCCTGCCCGCTCTGGATGTGAGAAAAAGGAAATGAAACAAACAGAAGCCGCGGACGGCTTCGAAGCAACGTTCTCAACTACTAACAGGCCTTTTGGCGGCGAAGAAACCGCGGGGGAGGAAGAACCGATCACGACTGGAACGGCGGCGGGCGCGGGACGCGGGGAAGTCTCCTGGGGTTCTGCGGGAGGCTCAGGAACCGTCTCTTTGGGAGTGGAATCGCTATCAATAGTGGGGGTGCTCTCGAGGTTGAGTTCTTGCTTGACCTGCTTGGCGAGGTATTGCTTGTAGCTAGAAATGAGGGACGGTGGAGTAGAATTACAGCTGGGCAGCTTTGCTGGTGTACTTGTCTTGGAGCTAGGAATGATGCGATGGAAATGGAATCAACCTTCGAATTCAACAGCATGGACCATCCGTGCTCCTTGAAAAACTTTGCAGCGTTGTCGTTTCCTCCAAGCTATAAAATAAACGAACATGACAAAAGGCAACTCTCATGGCCGTTATCTGCTCCTCCTTCCACACATCGAGCTGCGTTGATCTAAATTTCGATTCTTAATCCACAAAAACTACTTTACAAAGGAAATGTGCACACCCATATTTCTATGATGGGCAGAACACTCTAGACAAATGTATACACCATACGGGATAGAAGCCCATGTAGGGTTTTTCTGCCCGCAATCAAAACACGCCTAGTACGTTAGCAAACAAAACCAAGCAATTTCCTACTTTGTTAGCTGGGTTGGACCGGAGCTTCTTGAATATCGATTCACTTTCCTCGTGAGACAGAACCTTAGACATTTTTTGATAATGCTTCTAGTGATGCAAATGATGGATTTGTAGTGTATTCAAATGAATTGCTAATGCTTCGCCATTTTTCTTATTAGATTGTATTCGTAATACATGCTAGAAATGGAGAGCTTTTTTGAGTGAAGACTAGATTATTTTTATTTGCATGTGTTCATTTTCGTGATCTTAGCACGTATTCTGCGAGATCTATTCCATCATTCCTTAAACATGATAGTTGCCTAGATAGTAGAATTATACTCCACGTTTTCTAATAAAAAACCTATTTGAATGTACACATGACACATGTATTCTCACCCTCAAAATCTTTCCTATTATCATATCCTAACGGTTTTACTAATAACAAACAACCACTTATTCACATCAAATATCAATCTGATGCACATCGTCCAAGGACATGGTCAGTCTGTCCGTTCCACGAATCTCAAAACTCACAAACTCATTGGTTCCCTTTCTCAACAGCGGTTCGGGCACATACAGCGTCAACTGCGGTCCCACGGTCCAATAGCGTCCCAAGTTGAATCCATTGGCGTAGATGTGTCCCTTGGTCCATCCCTTGGGGTTAATGAACGTGTCCGCCGTCTCTTTAATCTCCACAAAGCTTCGATAGAAGGCGGGTCCCGTTCGCTCCGCCTCTTCGTTCGCTTCGTTCACCGGCTTCCACTGCAGCACGTTGACGTTTTTCATGCCCAATCGCATCATCTCCCATCCCTGCAGCACGCCTCCGTTCAGCGTCACATCGCCCAGAATGCCCTTCCGATCGGTCATCTGCGCTCCGTAGTTCAATCGGCCCATGCTCTCCACCAGGATATCCAGCACGCCGCTGCCCGGAACCTCCACCGTCACCGAGCAGTTCGCTCGCTCGATGAGTCCCAGGAAGGCTTGGTCCAGGAACACGTACGCGCGATCGTGCACGGTGGCTAATCGCAGCGTGCCGCCCTGCACGATGGACGTGCGATACAGCACAAACCCGTAGTCCAGACCCAGTTTCTCCATCGACAGCGGACGATCGGCCTTCACGGGCTGCCGGTCCAGTGCTTCCAAGTTCTCCCAGAGCGACGCGCGCTCCGTGAAGCGGATCGTTCCGTAGCTCGCCTTCTTCGTGTCCTGCACGTCGTACTGCGGCAGCTTCTTCCACTTGCCGATCTGATCGCGGATCGCTTTGTATTTCTCCGTCATGTCGCCCGCTTCGGACAGCGGAGCGTCGTAATCGTAGCTCGTCGGCTGCGGCTGCAGCAGCTCGCCGCCGCCGTTCGCGCCGCTCATGAAGCCCCAGTTGGTGCCTCCGATGAACACGTAGAAGTTCCAATTGGCTCCCATCTCGTACATCTCCGTCATCGTGTCCAGGATCGGCTGGATCGCCGTCTTCTGGTGTTTCTCCGTCCAGTGGTCCAGCCAGCCCGGGTAGAACTCCGAGTTCTGCAGAGGACCCACCGGCTCGTACTTCCGCATCACCGCCAGCTGGCTGTGCGCGTTGCCGGGACCGAAATCCACGGTGCTGTAGGCCTTGCCGGCCAGACGACCGCAGGTCACCATTTGGTCGGTGGGACCATCGGTTGTGAAGGTGACGTAGGTGGTGTCGGGACCTAAATACTGAACCGTGAGGTCGTAGAGCTGCGTCAAGTAGTCCTTGTCACAGGCAGGGTAGCTGCCATACTCGTTCTCAATCTACACCATGATAATGCCTCCTCCGTTTGTGATCATATGGGGAGCCAGGATGGGGAGCAGCACACTGTACCAGGCAGTGACCGGTTTCATGTACTTGGGATCGTTGGTTCGGATTTGGATGTCGTCCTCCTTGAGCAACCAGTAGGGAAGGCCTCCAAACTCCCATTCGGCACAAATATAGGGACCAGGACGCACAATGACCAAAAAGTTGTACTTCTCAGCGAGGGTCAAATATCGGTTAAGATCGTTGGCCCCCTCGAATTGAAACTCTCCCTGCTCCGGCTCGTGCATATTCCAAGCAATGTAGGTTTCGACCGTGTTCATACCTGCGTTGGCCAGCTTCTTGAAGGTATCCTCCCAGCGATCTGGATGGACTCTGAAATAGTGGAAAGCAGCGGAGATGAGCTGAATGGGCTGGTTGTTGAGAAGATACGAATCCTTTCCGATGGTAAAATTACCAGCAAATACACTCGTGAAAAGGGTCAAGAGAAGTAAAAGGTTTACCATAGTTAAAGATTAAAATGAGGATAGTGGGGAGGGGATGAAATGAGACACAATTGAATGAAACGCCTTGGTTATTATTATAGCAGCTCACATCACATCACACACCTCTCTCTCAAACTTGTTCCCAACAAACACACAATGGATTGAAGAAATGTACTTTCGTTTACTTAGCACGGACAGTGGACTTAATAATACCCACAGCGACAGTCTGTCTCATATCACGGACGGCGAAACGACCCAGAGGAGGATAATCCTGGAAGGACTCGACGCAGAGAGGCTTGGAAGGCACCAGCTCGGCCATCATGGACTTTCCGTTCTTGACGATATCGGGGTTCTCACGCAGGACCTTTCCGGTACGCTTATCCATCTCGGACATGATCTTCTCGAACTTGCAGGCAATGTGAGCAGTGTGGCAATCCATCACAGGGCAGTAACCAGGACGAATACCCGAGGGGTGGTTCATCACAATGACCTGAGCGGTGAACGACTCCACTCTGCAAGGAGGATCGTTCTTGGCATCTCCGCACACGTTTCCACGGTGAATGTCCTTCACAGACACGTTCTTCACGTTGAAACCGACGTTGTCTCCGGGCAGAGCCTGAGGAATCGACTCGTGGTGCATTTCCACGGACTTGACTTCAGTGGTCACACCCACGGGAGCGAAGGTCACGGTCATACCGGGCTTCAGGATACCGGTCTCCACACGGCCCACAGGCACTGTACCAATACCTCCGATCTTGTACACATCCTGCAGAGGAAGACGCAGAGGCTTATCCACAGGGCGCTTAGGAGGATGAATGTTGTCCAGAGCCTCAATCAGAGTGGGTCCCTTGTACCAGGGCATGTTCGCAGAGCGCTCCAGCATGTTATCTCCGTTGAATCCAGAGATGGGAATGAAGGGAATACGCTCCTCCACCTTCTGGTAACCGACCTTGGTCAAGAAGCTGGTCATCTCAGCCTTGATCTCCTTGTAACGAGCCTCGGAGTAGTTCACGGACTTGTCATCCATCTTGTTCACGCAGCAGATCATCTGCTTCACTCCCAGAGTGTTGGCAAGAAGAGCGTGCTCACGAGTCTGACCGTTCTTTCCGTAACCAGCCTCGAACTCTCCAGTTCCGGCAGCAATGATCAGAATGGCAACATCGGCCTGAGAGGTACCGGTGATCATGTTCTTGATGAAGTCACGGTGACCAGGGGCATCGATGATGGTGAAGAAGTACTTCTCAGTCTGGAACTTCCACAGAGAAATATCAATGGTGATACCACGCTCACGCTCGGCCTTCATCTTGTCCAGCACCCAAGCGTACTTGAAGGATCCCTTACCAATCTCGTTGGCCTCCTTCTCAAAACGCTCAATGGTACGCTTATCAATACCACCGCAAGCATAGATCAAGTGACCAGTGGTGGTGGACTTTCCAGAATCGACGTGTCCAATGACGACCAAGTTAATATGAGGCTTTTCCTTACCCATGATTACAAACGAAAGAGTTTATTGATAAGGAGTGGTTAGAACATATGTACAGTGGTTTTCCTTCATTATCATGAAATCGGGCAATGAGCAGAAAAGAAAATATTATATTATTGAACTGAGGTTATTTTAAATCTTAACACACCCATTGCACAAAGTCCTAATAATGCCGTAATCAACCTCTAAAGAGGTTAGAGAGATGGAGAAAAACACTATGCTTATATGGGCATGATAAGAATGCAAAAGGGCTCAATATACAGGTTAGAAAACAATTACCTTCTAGAATATTTAAAATAAGGTGAGCGTAATATGAAAGCACCTAATTACCATCGCCGAAAATAAAGGGGAAAAGACGTGTGTAATCAATCAATGGAATCAAATGACCAACTGTATAGTGATCAAATCCTCCTTGATTATCAATTAGTTGATGATTATTGAAGTAGAAATCAGTAGTAATTTATAGTTTTTTTCTGATTTTCTGGGGTGGGCTGATTTTGCTATTTTGTAATCATGTAGAACTATGCCTGAGGTGCATTATAAGAATCAAACAGTGACTGGTAATGATGCTGCTTCTTATGTTGCGTACGTGCCTCCGATGGGCGTTTCCGTATAGGTACCAGTTCTGTGACAATTGCTTCATTTACCCGATTACTCCTTCTACTCCGATGGCTACCAATTGCGATGCTTATGCCAGCCGCGGAATGAAGAATGTGTTTGGCCAGGTCGGGTAGGTTGCAGCCTCTTTCTGTGATATTGAAGTACGGTCGTGGAGATGCAGTCCGAGGCTGGAGCGTCTGGTGCTGTTCACGGAGCTCTGGTGGGAGGAGGTCTCTGCTCGACCTTCACTTGCTCTCAGGGACTGTTGCTGATGATTCCCAACATGTACAAGATTGCTGGAGAGATGCTTCCCTGCGTGTTCCACGTCTCTGCCCGTTCTGTAGCGGGTCAGGCTCTGTGCATCTACGGTGAGCACTCGGATATCATGGCTTGCCGTTCGACGGGTTTCAGTTTCCTGTGCTCCCAGTCGGTGCAAGAAGCGCACGACATTGCTTTATGCGCGCATATAGCGTCCCTTCGTGCGAGTCTTCCCTTCGTGCACTTCTTCGATGGCTTCCGCACGTCGCACGAGACGACGAACATCCGCGTGATCGACGAGGAGTCCATGAAGCAGTTCGTTCCCTGGGAGGCGGTGCGTCGTCACCGCGCGCGCGCCGTGAACCCCAACCACCCCGACCTGCGCGGCACGGCGCAGAGCCCCGACATCTACATGCAGTGCGTGGAGGCGGGCAACGCTGCCTACACGCAGGTGCCCGAGATCGTGGACAAGGTGTTCGAGGAGATGGCGCCGGTGTTCGGTCGCCGCTACCGCCTGTTCGAGTACTACGGCGCGGAGGACGCGGAGGACGTGGTGGTGTGCATGGGATCGGGCGCCAACGTGGTGCACGAGACGGCGAACTATCTGAACGCGCGCGGCAGCAAGGTGGGCGTGCTGAAGGTGCGTCTGTTCCGTCCGTGGAGCGTGAAGCACTTCCTGGAGGTGCTGCCCAAGACCGTGAAGCGCATCGCCGTGCTGGACCGAAGCAAGGACGCGGCGGCCATCGGCGAGCCGCTGTATCTGGACGTGTGCACGTCGTTCAGCACCGGGGAGACGGAGCTGCGCCCGATGATCATCGGCGGTCGCTACGGACTGGGATCGAAGGACTTCACGCCCGGGCAGGCGATGTCGGTGTTCCAGAACCTCCGCGCCGAGAAGCCGATCCGCAGCTTCAGCGTGGGTATCAACGATGATGTGACGTACCGCTCGCTGCCGCAGCTGCCCGAGCCGGACACGGTGCCCGCGGGCATCTACCAGGCGATCATGTGGGGCATGGGATCGGACGGCACGGTGTCGGTGTCGAAGACGATCATGAAGATCCTGGGAGATTACCACAATCTGAACGTGCAGGGCTACTCCGAGTACGAGGCCAAGAAGTCGAACGGCTGGAGCGTGAACTACCTGCGCTACGGCAAGGAGCCGATCGACTGTCCGTACAACATTCGCTGCGCGGACTACGTGTCGTGCAGCAAGAGCTCCTATCTGTACAAGTTCGACATGTTCTCCGCGCTGAAGGAGAACGGAATCTTCCTGCTGAACACGAGCGCGACCACGCTGGAGGAGATGGAGGCGCTGCTGCCCGGGAAGGCGAAGCGCATCCTGGCGCGGAAGAACGCGCGGCTGTTCGTGGTGGACGCGACGGCGCTGGCGGGCAAGTACCATCTGGGAAAGTACGTGAACACGACGATGGGAATCGTGTACTTCAAGCTGACGGGCTGCATGGACGTGGAGGAAGTGGTGCCGATCATGAAGAAGATGGTGGAGAAGACGTACATCAAGAAGGGCGAGCACATCGTGCGCAACAACTGGGACTGCATCGACAACTCGCTGGAGGCGGTGCACCAGATCGAGTATCCGCGCGAGGCGTGGATGAACGCGGAGGTGGAGAAGCCGCACGAGATCGAGGGCGCTCCCGAGTTCGTGAACAAGGTGATGCTGCCGATCGTGCGCTACGAGGGCGACAATCTGCCGGTGTCGGTGTTCCGTCCCGGCGGCGTGATGCCTTCCGGCACGACGCGGTACGAGAAGCGAGGCATCGCCATCATGAACCCCGAGTGGCAGATCGACAAGTGCATCCAGTGCAACCAGTGCGCCACCGTGTGTCCGCACGCCTGCATTCGCCCCGTGCTGCTCACCGAGGAGGAGGCCGCGAAGGCGCCGGAGGGCTTCAAGACGCTCAAGGCGACGGGCGGCGGCGCGCTGAACAACATGCGGTTCCGCATCCAGGTGTCGCCTCTGGACTGCACGGGCTGCCAGCTGTGCGTGGAGGCGTGCGGCGACGACGCGCTGGTGATGAAGGACTTCGAGGTGATGAAGACGCAGGAGGCGGCGAACTGGGAGTACGCGATGACGGTGCCGAGCAAGGGCGACCTGGTGGGCCGCAACGACGTGCGCTCGGTGCAGTTCCACCAGCCCATGCTGGAGTTCAGCGGCGCGTGCGATGGCTGCGGTGAGACGCCCTACGTGAAGCTGATCACGCAGCTGTTCGGAGAGCGCATGAACATCGCGAACGCGACGGGCTGCTCGTCGATCTGGGGAGGCACGGCCTCGTTCAACCCCTACACGCACAACGCGCGCGGCCAGGGACCCGCGTGGGCCAACTCGCTGTTCGAGGACAACGCCGAGTACGGTCTGGGAATGTCCGTGTCCGTGTCGCAGCGCCGCCGCGTGCTGCGCGAGAACGTGGAGGCGCTGCTGAAGGAGGAGGCCGCGACGCTGCCCGAGGGACTCGCCGATTTGCTGGCGGAGTGGCTGGAGAACTACAGCGATGGCCGCCGCTGCCAGAGCGTGGCGAACCAGGTGATGGACGTGCTGAGCGGCCTGGAGGGCAAGGAAGTGTCCGCCAAGCTGGCCGCGGTGATCCGCGACCGCGATCTGTTCCCGAAGATCTCGCAGTGGATCATCGGAGGCGACGGCTGGGCGTACGATATCGGCTACGGAGGCGTGGACCACGTGCTGTCGACCGGCGAGGACGTGAACATCGTGGTGCTGGACACGGAGATGTACTCGAACACGGGAGGCCAGAAGTCGAAGGCCACGCCCATGTCCGCCGTGCAGCAGTTCGCCGCGGGCGGTAAGTTCACGCACAAGAAGGAGATGGGCTTGATGGCCATGTCCTACCGCAACGTGTACGTGGCCTCCGTGGCGCTCTACGCCGACATGGCGCAGGCGATCCGCGCGTTCAACGAGGCCGAGTCGTACAACGGACCGTCCATCATCTTCTGCTACTGCCCCTGCCTGATGCAGAACGTCGTGCCCGCGATGCGCGCTACCTTCAAGGAGGTGGAGCTGGCGGTGAAGTCGGGCTACTGGCCGCTCTACCGCTACGACCCGCGTCTGAGCGCTAACGGCAAGAACGCCTTCCAGCTGGACTACAAGAAGGATCTGAGCGATGACCTCAAGAACTTCCTGGCCAACGAGCGTCGATTCTTGGAGCTCAATCGCACGCGTCCGCAGGTGGCCGAGGAGCTGCACGCCGAGCTGAAGAACCATCTCCAGGAACGCCACGACGACTTCGTGCGTCGCGCCATGCCCCTCGCCAAGCTGGCTGCCGCTTCGGCGACGAGTTCTGGATCTGGATCTGGATCAAGCTACGAGCTGACGATTCTGTACGGATCGGAGACGAACCACTCGAAGGATCTGGCGCTGACGCTGATGCAGGAGGCGGAGGCGCGCCAGGTGGAGGTGACGGTGAACGAGCTGGACGAGATGAGCATGGAGGACCTGGCGACGAAGAAGCACGTGGTGATCCTGTGCTCGACGGCGGGCAACGGCGAGTTCCCGAAGAACGCGAAGGCCTTCTTCGCGGAGGCGAGCAAGGAGCATCCCAGCGACCTGCTGAAGAACGTGGAGATCCACGTGTTCGGTCTGGGCGACTCGAGCTTCGCCAACTACAACGCGGCGGCGAAGCAGATCCACGCCCGTCTGCAGGCCCTGGGCGCCAAGTCGATCGACCTGACGCTGGCGAACGACCAGGATCCGGAGCGCTACATGACGGCGTGGGAGAACTGGGTGCCGGTGTTCTGGGAGCAGAGCGGCGTGCCCGAGCCGGTCTACGAAGGCGTGCCGCCCAGCAACTTCGCGGTGTCCGTGAAGGACGCGAGCGCGCACGTGTCGCGGCGCCGCTTCCTGCCCGGCGACGCGCAGCTGATCCCGCTGGTGAAGAAGACGCGGATGACGCCGGTGGACTACGACCGCAACATCATGCACCTGGTGTTCGACCTGGACAAGACGGACATCCGCTACAAGGTGGGCGACGCGCTGGCGATCTACCCCAAGAACACGGACGCGCTGGTGCAGCGCTTCTGCGCGTACCTGGCGCAGGACGCGGAGACGATCGTGGGCATCGCGAGCAGCAGCGAGTCCCTGGCGGACAAGTTCCCCAAGACCACCACGGTGGGCAAGATCGCGGCGGAGATCCTCGACCTCGCGGGCCGTCCTTCGCGCAAGCTCTTCAAGACCATGAGCTACTTCGCGGAGGGTGACGAGGCCGCGCAGCTGGCGGCGCTTTCGCGCGGCGAGGGCGAGCTGGCGCAGCGCTTCGCGGCGGAGACGGCGAGCGTGATGGACGTGCTGGAGCACTTCCGCTGCCGCGTGGACCTGGCGCACCTGCTGGAAGTGGTGCCCGCGATCAAGCCGCGCCTGTACTCGATCGCCTCGTCGCAGCTGCGCGACCCGCACCTGCTGGAGCTGTGCATCGTGGTGAACACGTGGAAGACGGCGTCGGGCGCGGAGAAGACGGGACTGTGCACGGGCTACCTGGACGGCCTGGACCTCAGCAACGGACCCGTGCAGGTCGCCGTGTCGGTGAACGGCGGAGCGCTGTTCATGCCCGAGGACAGCTCGGCGCCGCTGCTGATGGCGGGTCTGGGCACGGGCATCGCGCCGTTCCGCGCGTTCGTGCAGGAGAAGGCCGTGCAGAAGCACAGCGGCAAGACGATCGGCGACGTGGTCTTCATGATGGGACTGCGCTACCGCGCGAAGGAGTTCCTGTTCGGCGAGGAGTTCGAGGCGCTGGAGAAGGAAGGCGTGATCAGCCACCTGCTGCCCGCGTTCTCGCGCGACCAGGCGCAGAAGGTGTACATCCAGCACAAGGTGGAGGAGAATCCAGCGCTGGTCTGCGACGTGCTCGTCGAAAAGAAGGGATACTTCTTCTATTGCGGACCTGCTGGAAGCGTGCCCACCGCCATCGAAAAGGCCATTCTCAAGGCCTTCGAGAGCGTGTATAAGAAGAGCGAGCAGGAGGCCATGGACATGCTGAACAGCATCAAGAACGAGGGAAGATATGTCGTCGAGGCCTGGTCGTAAGGGCGATCGAAGGATGGGTCGGATGGGTTTAAAGGATTGCACAGTATTGTGGAGCAAGTTGCTTGATTGATTTTAGTCTTGTTTGTTAGCCAAAAGGAGGAGGAGTTTCATTTCGGGACAGTACCGTTTTTTTCTGTTCCACCATAGTTTTCACATAAACTTCTCTGTACTCTCTACAAAATGTCACAAACTAGTAGGTAGTGTGCTCTGCGTGAAGGAGCTCGGTGTATGCCGAAGTTGTCAGTGAGATTGGTGGTTGTTCGTTGCAGAGTCTAACCGTTGCTGTAGCTCTCGTCATTGATAACGGATCTGGAATGGTGAAGGCTGGTTTCGCCGGAGAAGACAAGCCTCGCTGTGTGTTCCAGTCTATTATTGGACGTCATAAGTCGACCACCGTGCACGTTGCCGGTGATACGAAGGACTATTACATTGGCGATGAGATCAATTCTCGTCGTGGAATTCTGAACTTGAAGTATCCCATTGAGCACGGAATTGTGACCAACTGGGACGATATGGAGAAGATCTGGCACCACACCTTCTACAATGAGCTGCGTGTTGCTCCTGATGAACATCCCGTGCTTCTGACCGAGGCTCCTTTGAATCCTAAGGCGAACAGAGAGCGTATGACTCAGATTATGTTCGAGACGTTCAACGTGCCTGCCATGTACATTCAGATTCAGGCTGTGCTGTCTCTGTACGCCGCTGGTCGTACCACGGGTTGCGTGATTGACTCTGGTGACGGTGTCTCGCACACTGTCCCCATTTTCGAGGGCTACACGCTTCCTCACGCGATCATGCGTATGGATCTGGCTGGTCGTGATCTGACGGAGGCGATGCAGACGATGCTGACCGAGCGCGGTCTGCAGCTGACGTCCTCTTCGGAGAAGGAGATCGCTCGCGACATTAAGGAGAAGCTGTGCTACGTGGCTCTGGACTTCGACAAGGAGCTGAAGGACTCGCAGAACTCGAGCAAGCTGGAGCGATCGTACGAGATGCCGGATGGCAAGGTGATTCAAATCAACAGCGAGCGCTTCCGTGTGCCCGAGATTCTGTTCAACCCGTCGCTGGCGGGCCGCGAGCTGTCGGCGAACGGCATCCACGATGCGGTGTACCAGACGATCTCGAAGTGCGACGTGGATCTGCGTCGCGATCTGTACAACAACGTGGTGCTGTCGGGAGGCACGACCTTCTTCGATGGAATGGGAGACCGAATGCAGAAGGAGCTCACCGCGCTGGTGCCGTCGAGCATCAAGGTGCGCGTGATCGCCTCGCCGGACCGAAAGTACATGGTGTGGATTGGAGGAGGCATGCTGGCGCAGCTGTCGTCGTTCCAGGATTGCTGGATCACCAAGGAGGAGTATGATGAGTCGGGAGCCGAGATTGTGCACAGAAAGTGCGTGTCGTAACGTGGAAGACGAGTGTAGAGGAAAGGATGTGAGTTGTTTGTTTGAAGAAATAAATGAGTGGGTGGTGATGGTGAGAGAGGAAAAAAGAATATGTATGTATGTATGTATAGGGATGATAAAAAGAGAGGGGATAGTTGCTTTGTAAGAAGGGAATTAGATTGGGATAGAGTTTAGAGAGAGAGGGTGGGATATGTAGAAATGAGGGAAGTGAGAAAGAGTGAAGGTTAGAACTCGAATAGTCAAAGAGAAGAATTGCAATAGAGAAGATAGAAAACATCAGTAAATGTTTAGAAAGCATCGATCAGTGATACATGTTAAGGATGAGCAAGTGAATAGATGACTACAGAGTGTAGGTTACCAACAATTGAAGGATAATCAATTATCACTCACTGAACACAACTATTTTGGTAGTTAGTACACTTAACCGGTAGAAAGGAGTGATGACTTAGAACATTGTCTTTTTTCTATTGATTTTAGTTGTTAGAGTTGAAAATCATTTGGAAAATAGAATGGCCTCTGTTTTTTTCTTTTTTATGCAAGTCGAATCGATAGATGACTAGCATCAACTACTCTAAAAATGTCAGATGTCAAAAAGAGCAATCTATTGATTGTTTTCGCAGAAGGTCAAGTCACAGATTCTGTGCCTTGCATATATGGGACAAACGAGGACGATAAGTTGTAATCGACAAGTGATTGTTGAAAGGTGTAATTATTAGCACAATGAATGATATTGAATGGTTCTTTGTGTGTGTAACATGCACAGATAGATAATTTGCTGATTTCCTTTGTTGCCGTGTTTCCTTTGAACCAATATCTTAAGAAAGCGAATAATTCTATATTTTGTATATTGTGTTGATTTTACACTAGAAATATAGTTTGATAAAGCTGTGTTTAGCCTATTTTCTCAATCCTACTAGAGAAACACGAGTATACCATTATAAATCATCATGGAAATGCGTGACAATTAATAATATATATTTTCTTTTAGTAGGAAAGGTGAATTTCACGAAATCGATCGCTGAACAAGAAACTAGGATTCAATGCTCAATAATTAATGTTTTCTTATCATGGAGGTGATATCCTTACAGCTATGGTAAATAATAAATTGGATGAGAAGAACAGACCAGTTTTGCCATTCTTTTTTTATTCTTATTATATTCAATGCAAAACATTATTGATCATATTATTTCAGTTATTAGCAACTCCAGTGCTGATAGTTCCATCATAGAATATACACAAGGACGTCTAGACGATAAAATGAAACCAAATGGCTGGATTTTCCTTTTTTTGAGTACCAGAGAATGTGTAATATTGCAATTCGATAATGGAGTATACATGAATCAAGGATTTGTACTCAATGAGCAGAAAGTGTTGAAAGTGATTGGAAATCATCAAATTGGTGCTATTTCATATAATGAAGAACAATCCATAGAAGTAGTAGAAGAAGGAATCGTGGATTTGGATCATGGAAGTCGATTTGAAGGATTGGTATTGACAGAAAACAATTTTGGAATTCCATTTGGATATGGTGAAATGTATGATGATGATGGAATATTGGTGTACAAGGGCATAATGATCAATTGGAAACGATTTGGATATGGAACGAGTTATCATAATAATGAAGTGATTGAATATGAAGGATATTGGTGTGATGATAAGCGATTTGGAAGTGGGAAAATGTATAATCGTAAAGGAATGAAAATAAAGGATTGTTACTGGTATAATGGAATTGAAAGTGATAATGATACTATGTATTACAGAGGAAAGGGTTCAGAACCACTGAATATTGGAATAAAACATTTGAAACTGTTTGGCTTTTGTGCATTGGTTGATTGGGATGTTTCATTGTTGTATAATTTGGAATCAATCGAAATCAGCAATAGATGTTTTAGATCAGTGCAAACATTCAGAATCGATGGATTGAATCGATTGAAAACTATCAAAATCGGAAACTATTCATTTACTCAAAAGAGGGATTTCTTTGGTAAGAATCGATCGAAATCATTCCACATATTGAATTGTAAATCATTAGAATCTATTCAAATTGGTAACAATAGTTTCAGTGATTTTGCTGGAGACTTTGAATTGAAGAATCTACCACAATTACAATCCATTCAAATTGGTAATACTGAATTGGATTCTTACAATTTTCACTCATCATCATTTCAAATTAAAGGTATTGTTCCATTTTTATTACGATAATAAACTAGATTTGAATAAATTGACTACGATATCAATTGGGAGATTTTCATTCAACAATTCAAAAATCTATGATGTATCTAACTTATTAATACTAGAAGTATTGATAATAGGAAATGACATGTACAGGAATGTATCAACATTTACGCTTAACGGTTTGAAATCATTAACTACACTCTCAGTAGGATCAAACTCTTTTACTCATAAACCATATTGGTATGGAAATGACAAATCGAAATCATTCCACATACTGAATTGTGAATCATTGAAATCCATTGAAATTGGTGAATATAGTTTCAGTGATTTTGGAGGTGACTTTGAATTGAAGAATTGTCCACAATTACAATCCATTCAAATTGGGACAATTGAAAGAGTTTCAAACAATTTCTTCAGTAGTTCATTTGTAATTCGAGGTATTGATATGATGATGAATATTTGAATAATGCCTAGATCTTCCAAATCTACAATCCATTATTTTAGGGAATAAGGCCTTTTATCGGCCCACCTTAACAATAATCGAAAGTATTGAATGAAATTGAATGAAATGATTGGTACAGATCTACCATTATTACAATCCATTCAACTTGGTGAATATGCACTTTGTGGAAAAGACGATGTATCATGTTCATTGATAATGCGAAGTAATAATAAAATGTTTTGAAAACTATTTTTTGTGTAGATCTTCCAAATTTAACATCTATTAATTCCAAAGGATGGAGTTTCCGTTTCCCCCGTTCTTTACAATTAGAAAGTACATGTGATCACTATATTATTTTTAGTCATTACTAAATTAAAAATGGTAAGTTTGCCTCATTCATTCGAATGCGTGATCTATCCATTTATAAAAAGTAATCTGTTAAAATTTCAATGAACTTTAGATATAAATAAGAGAATATTTTATTCTGTTCACTCACATTCTGATATTCAGTCAATAAGCTCATCAGTCTCTTCGATTACTCTTCCCAATGGGACTTGTAATGATAGCTATTATTCAATATTTGACTTTTCGCGATTCACTAGAGTTAAGTTTATTAAAATAGGAAATAATAGCTTTTGTTCAGTACGAACATTCCGAATTGATGGATTGAATCGATTGAAAACATTGAAAATTGGAATCAATTCATTTACTCAACAAAAAGAATACCATTTTGATAAAGAAAAAACCAGGAATACATCGAAATCATTCCACATACTGAATTGTGAATCATTGAAATCCATTGAAATTGGTGAATATAGTTTCAGTGATTTTGGAGGTGACTTTGTATTGAAGAATTGTCCACAATTACAATCCATTCAAATTGGGACAATTGAAAGAGTTTCAAACAATTTCTATTCTAATTCCTTTGTAATTCGAGGTATTGATATGATGATGAATATTTGAATAATGCCTAGATCTTCCAAATCTACAATCCATAGAATTAGGTGATTATGCCTTCTATGAATCCTTATCGACAATAATTGAAAGTATTGAACGAATGTGAATGAAATGATTGATGTAGGTCTTCCATCATTACAATTCATTCATCTTGGCGAATGGGCACTTTGTGGAAAAGACGATGGATCATGTTCATTGATAATACGAAGTATGAATGAATTGATTGTAACTGATTTGCTTTGTAGATCTTCCAGTTGTAACATATATATCATGCTTTGGTGATTATTGTTTTATATATCCTCGTATCGTAATTTTAGAAAGTACTTCTTGGTATTATATACTCAGTGAAATCAGATATTCCAAATCTTGATTACATAGCATATTATTACTCATTTACATACATACGGTATTTATCTGTGGATGGTAATTCCATTTTTATATTTTTGGTGTAGATATAAAATCCAAGGTACTTTCTAGTTTTCCAAAGTTGGATAATTTTGACTACATTCAATCATTTGATTCATCAGTTTTATCCATCACTATTCCCAATTGGACTTGTAATGATATTGATTTTTCAATATTTGACTTTTCGCGATTCACTAGAGTTGAAGAAATCGTAATTGGCGATAATAGCTTTTGTTCAGTACGAACATTCCGAATTGATGGATTGAATCGATTGAAAACATTGGAAATTGGAATCAATTCATTTACTCAACAAAAAACATGTAATTTCAAAAAGGAAGTAGTCTTTGATGAATCGAAATCATTCCACATACTGAATTGTGAATCATTGGAATTGATTCAAATTGGTTATTGTAGTTTCAGTGATTATGGAGGCGAAGTTGAGCTAGAAAATTTACCGAATTTATCATCCATTGATATTGGTAATGAGTCTTTATTACTTAGAAAATATTATCAAGATGCCTTTAACAATTTGAATCGATATAAAAGATCAGTTAAGTTTGGTATATTCAACTTCTGCTCATCTCCATTAGTGATTAAAAGTATTAATAAGATTTTGAATAAGTACCATTTAGATCTTCCAAATCTACAATCAATTAAAATTAAAAATTGCACGTTCAAGTATTCTCAAATATTTTGTTTAAAAAACTTGGACTCTTTGCGAAAACTGGAGATTGGAAATTATTGCTTTCTTAAAGTTGTTAAATTTGAAATTAATGGATTAAATAGTTTGGAGCAAGTGATTATTGGTCAGAATTCGTTCACACTAACAGATTCATCTGAGTATAAGCGTGATTCTGAGAAAGCACTGAAAAATGCTCGAAATGAGTATCGATCATTTCACATAGTCAATTGTAAATCATTAGTATCAATTGAAATTGGTACTTTTAGTTTTTTTGATTATGCTGGGCAATTTGAATTGAGAAACCTTCCCAAGTTAAATTCCTTTTCATGTAAATCAAATGACTCTTTATCCTATAATTTCTATTACAGTTCATTTGTTATTCGAGGTATTATTTAATCAAATCTTATAGTGTGTAGACCTCCCTAAATTAAGAAATATAGCAATATCTAACGGGTTTGCTGCTTCCCCCTTAATCGTGATTGAGAGTAATGTGTTTCATTATAATGCTAGTCTGAATAGATCTTCCCTCGTTAAAATCCATAGATCTCGATATTTATGCACTTTGTGGTCTAGATGATGAATCATGTTCACTGATAATGCGAAGTCTGATATACTGATTTTGAATACGTGTGTAGATCTTCCAAAATTAAGGAATATAAATCGTGAATGTTTTAGTTTTGAGAATGTTCGTTATGTGACATTGGAAAGTATCTATTCTTACAATCAGTTACATAAATTAGATATTCCAGCCAATGCATTATACCATTTTTATGATAGCTTTTCGAAGGCACGCCAAGTAAGGGCATCAAGTATAGTTTTTTGTCTTTTTATTGTGTAGATATCTCAAAACTTTCATTATGATTACATATTATAAATTCGTTATTATTATTAAAAGAATACTTTGGATCAAAAATCTATTGCTGTATTTCTAGAAAATAGCAATGATTGTAATGATAACTAAGCTTGTTTTTTAAATTACAATATCAAGAATGCTTCATCACATTAGTTAATTCGAATTCGTTGACCTACCTTGCCATGACTATTTTTAGACAGATTCCTTACAAATATCACTTCAGAATTCTACTGCACATAGTATAAACTATGTTTTGCTTGTTTCTAGATAACAGTGCACTGCTTGGGAAATGGGATCTTTTCTTTGTAATCCTTCTTTCGACAGAATAATAATGATGAACTGCTCTATTCATCACTAGAATCTCCCATATTGTTTCTGTTACAAACATGAAGTACACTGAGATGATTGTTTTATACCTTCACAACCTTCTTTGTACTTTCAGTTTTGGAGAGTGTCTTCTTCTGAGTCCCTGCAGCCTTCGCACCCTTTCCTTTGACACCACCCACCGCCTTGGCTCTTCCATTCACTCGTACAATTATGAAAACAGCGACAGCGACAATGATAATCGCCACAATCACAATCACAACAATGAATGCTATAGGCATGCAAACACCGGTGATCCCCTGCCATTCTCCGTCGTGCTCTCCAAGAATACAGGCTCTCTTTTGGGAACCCACATACGAGCCTCCCAATGCACAGTTATAGACATATATATTACCAACCTCTGTAGTGGGGAAGATTCCCTCAGCCTTACAAGTTCCCTTCTTTACAGAAATATTGATGGTTGCAAAGGTGATTCCCACCTGATTCTTTCCGTAGATCGTGAAGGTTCTCAACGCATTCTGCTCAGTAGGGACGCCTGAAATCTCTCCAGTATTGGTATTTAGGGTCAATCCCATAGGAAGGTATGTGTTTTCAGCCATGTAAAACTCTTCAATGATATTGACAAAGGTTGGCTTTGCAATGTACACTTTTGTGCCCAAAATGGTATTGTAAATGGTGGAATCGTAAGTCAGTTTATCTGGCAGCTTCTGTGTGCAATATTGGTTGTTAATGTCCCCTAACTGGCCGTTGGAACAAGTTCGGTACGAGTAACCACGATATCCTTCCTCACAGCTGCTTGGAGAGATTTCTCCCTCTCCCACGGGAGGATAATCACCAATTCCAGGACACACTCCAGTTCCACTAGGCTTGCAGTACAAAAGCATGTACGAACTCACATACACTGCATAGGTAGCAGGGTCGTCCACTAGGAACTTGAGCTGGTTGAATCCAGCAATGCCCAGAGGGACCGCCCAAGAAGATCGTTCCAATCCTTTAAAGTTCTGATTCAGAAGAGCCAATGCGGAAGTGTATTCCTCCGACGTTTCTCTGCGGACGTAAAGAGAAAATCCGTAGGAATAACGGTCATATGCCGTTTGCATTCCAAAACTGTTGAATTTGGTTCCCTCCATGTTTTCCACTGTCCACTCGAGATACGTTCCCTGAATATTGGGCTGGTATCCATACGTCGTCGGATTGAGATTAAGCAGTTCTTTTATATCGCAGAAGTAAACAGTGGAGCCATCGATTTTAGAATAGGTATCCACAAGAATCGAGCAGTCGTTCACGCCGAACACTCCAGTAGCATCAAAGACCACAGGACTGGAAGAAGACTGGCCAGTCGGGCGATGGATTTCAAAGGCCATGATGTTCTTGCCTGTCACTCCACCAACAGTGGTCATTATCACATGGAACTTGGAGAATTCATCCTGATTGTGGACAATATTGGACTTTGAGTCTGATCCGAAGTTTTCTTCCAGATTGAATCGAGCCACCTTTCTGCCGTTGAAATAGGCAACGACTCCTCCTACGTATTTCACACGGATATTCAATACCTGATAGTTGTTAATATCGGGTATGTTCACCTCCTTCCGAATGTAGGTAGTGGCTCCAATATTCGTTCCAATTTCGCTGGCTTTTTTCTTTGCCCATGCAGAGTCATCGAAATCGAGAGTCATCCAGTTTTCTACATAATCGTAATGGATCTTCCACTTAGAATAGTTAATCTGGAATGGCAAGTAGGTGGAGAACATCGTGCTCACAGAGGCGACGTCACCAGGCACTTGACCCATTTCAATAATCATCTCGCCCAAGTCCACGGTCAAGTAGTATCCAGCAGGGTTCGACCATCCATTTAGAGAAGAATCAAGCAATTGGAGAGTGTAAATGTTATCGTTCAGACAGAAATCGCCATAGTTCAGACCCGAGGCGACTGAAAGCTGATTGACCGATCGTACCACAGTTCCTGATGTTCCAATGCCTTGATAAACCTTGTAGGAAGCTTGTTCGGGATAGTAATCAGCACGGGCTACCAGAGTTACCAGAGAACGGCCTTCGGTACAAATCTGAATAGAAAAAGAGAACACTGCTGTGGAAGTGCCTCCAGTTAGCTTTGTAGCAGAGATCGAATAGGCAGTTGTTGGCATTTCGGATCTTGCTGTTCCAGAAATCATTCCGGTGTTGGGGTCTAGCCGGATTCCGTTTGGAAGGGTGGGAGTGATCTGGAAATTGTAGTAATATTCAGAATTTGGATACACTTCTCCCATCTCGATATCCTTAAAGATTGTGAGCGCTTCGTAGGCAAGTTCGGGGACTGTCATTGTTGTGTACACTGACCTTAGGTCAAGGGTGCCTAACTTCCATGGACAATTCGTAGTATCACCTGAAGCAAAATTCTCAAAACGATATTCATTGTATGCCTTGTTGTTCTGGAAATAAATGATGTGTGCTTGACCCGTCTGTGACCAAGTTAATCCAGTGACAGTAGACAATGTTGTCCATTCATCATTTCCGTTGCGAGCCTTCAGGACTAACTGATGAACTTGCTCAGTACTCTGCATGTAGTGCAGCTTAATAACAAAAGAGTTAATCCATTCGTGCCGATCATTGTTGAAAGCAATAGTAAAATGGTTATCAGCACAACTATTTGAGTATATGCTATACGAGAAGTGATGATTCAAAATGGAGGATGGACTTCCATTCATCCCATTGCTAGTAACGGCGTAGTCAAATACTCGTGATTCTGTTTGTTCTGTCATCAATCGAAGGGCACAGTCGAAGATCGCTTCCTTCTGGTTTGCATTGGCAGCAACAATTCCAATAGCGATGGTATTCGATCCTTGCTGAATGTAGTTCACAGCAGCGGTATCTCCAACTTGAACCGTCTTGATGGGAAGAGAAATCTGATGATAGAGAGTGTTCGTGTAAATGTTGTTGGCAAAGCTCGTAGGGGCGATCGTGGCATCCGTAATACCCTTTCTGAACGCTTCGTGTCCATTCAGATAGACAATGCATCCATATTTGAATTTGATGGAAAGAACAAATCCAGCAATGTCGTTGATGCTTGCGACGGTAAATGTCTTCTTGTACAGCTGGATCTGGTTGGAAGATTCGGCAAAGTTGCTGTCATTTCCTTCGGTCCATCCCGAAGTGGAGGTTGATGAATACCAATTTGTAGGCACGACTCCATGTTTGTAATACCAATTAGAATGGGGATGAACGGCATATTGTGCATTGAAGGTGCGAGACAACGGGAAACCAACCCTCGTATCATAGTGAATTCGAAGAATCGTTTCCATTTCATCTCCTGCGAGCACCGCACGGACATAGAGATGAGATTCCGCCTGCCAGTTGTTAAGAGTCGATCCAGTTGACACAGTGTATTTCTGTCCAGTAACGCAAGCAATACTTGTCCAATCTTCATTGTTCACCTGACCTGAATCCGCGGCTACAGCCATGACAACTTGCTGCGTGGATGCATCCTTGATTTCGAAACTTTCATAGGAGGCAGACGATGTGTAGGTCCGAAGGACACTGATAATTGTTCCAGCACATTCCTGGATATTTAGAGTGAACGATCCAGTATAGGTGTTGCCATGAATAACAGATGATACTGTGATGGACGTACCTGACATGGCAGTATTAACAATACCAGAAATGACGCAGGTGGTAGGATCAATTGTAAGTCCGGCAGGAAGATTTTGAGCCGTGCACTGAGTGAATTCATGGATATCAGGTCGGACATGCACTCGTTGGTATCTTGCCCAGAAAGTGTATGTATTAGGAGTGAATATGATCGAAGTAGGCATGGCTGTGGTACAGATCACTGGCTGCAACTCATAGATTTCCACATTACTGGTTCCAGTACTGGCAGGAAGACTGAGTCGATAATAACTGTACAGCGAGGAGAAAAAGTATCCTCCAAAGCTTTTGTATGTCTTTGAAGTATAGACTGCCCCCGATACTGTGATCGCATTCGTCCATTGTTGGTTATTATTCGATCCTTGGAAGATGAAATTACTGGGCGCATATGTAACGGTGGTATATGGCCATACTCGAATCGTATTAATATAAGGCTTGGGTCCTTCAAAAGTAAAGGTTACAGTAGCGGGAAGCTGCGAATTTTGTAGATAATAGGAAGACATTTTGCCGAAATCAAAGAGATGTGATGGATTGATTCCTTCATTGGACGAAATCGAAACAGAATCAGCATAAATGAAACAATTGGAATCTGGGATAGTGGAAGCCAAGAGCGCGAGATAAGCATTGAAGTAGACGGTCGTTTCTGCCGTGACAAAATGGAGCTCAACAGCGAGAATTGACTGCTGAGCAGCCACCTCAGAACCAGGACGAATAAATCCACGGTAATCAATAGTTTGATACTGTCCAGAAGCAGCAGTAGAGGAAGTGACATCCCCGGAAGGCATGTTGTCACGGTACACTTCAGCTCCATTGATATAGGCAATCACTCCAGCCTTGTAGTTCAGCCTCACATCGTAAGCAGCCATGTTTGCAAGACCCACGAACTGTTTACGGAAGTACTGAGTGCCACTCACAGTCGTGGTCACAGAGCCAAGCTGAGCATCTGTCCAGGTACTGTCCGAAAAAGAGTACGCAGTCCAGCCAGTTGAGGCTGTACCCGAAGTTAACTTCCAATTTACATTTTTTTCAATAGCATAATACAGCGATATCGTATAAGTTTCGGTTCTTGCAGCAGTCATCATATTCTTGAAAATAGCATTACCGTATAGTCCGTATACTGTTAGCCGGGACCCAGTCGTCCAAGAGTCACCGTATGAATCAAGCAGTTCAATCTTGTATTGCTTATTAGTGGAGGACGATAAGCACTTCTCAATCACACGATTTTCATGGTTTGCAAAGACCGGACTCGTAAAGAGGAGAGTACTTCCATCATAGATCTTGAATGACTCTTCGTTGGCATAATACGCAGACTTCTTTTCAAACTTCATATACGTTTCCTGTGATGTGCAGGTTACTTCACTAAGCGCAGTGGCAACTAAAGGTCAAGGGTATAGACTAGATCTACATAGAACAGCAAGTAGAATAAACAATTCCATTCAAAAGCAAAAAAATTATGAAAAATATGAGTTGCTACTCCAAAAATTGTGAATAGGACCATCATCCTGCATTATCCAACCAAATTCACTTCATTATCCAATAACGAATATGTATCTTTATTATTCTTTTTTGAATTTGTCATAATGAGGTCTGTTGCAAAGAAATATACTTAAAAAGCTATGCGCACCTCGCGTTTAAATTTCATTTTGATGCCGTAGGGAAAACTTTGTCACTGCGTGTTTTAAGATAAGTATATCCTGTGAGCAGAAAATATCAAAGATGCATTGACTTAAGTTACCCAAAAGCCAGAATTGGGGCAGTGAAGGACATATTAGTTTTGACCCAAATCATTGATCATATTATTTTTATCATAAAACATGGAATACTATAGGTATCAGCCTGGAGTTCGTTGTTTTATGAGCAAGAATGTATTGTACTCACCTGCTACTCGTTTTAATAGTGTTGGCAATAATACCAATCAGTTTGTGACTAGCCAAAAAGCGCAATATTCTATGCTATTGCCATGCAAGGTGAAGAGCGTCAAAAATACCCCGTCTCGACCTGTAGTTCCATATGCAAAGTACCGAGTTGTGAAGAATAGTAGAAAAACTACCAGAAGCTTTTTTGTTGCCAAAGTATTGTATCATAGAGTGATGTATAGGCAGTAATGAATGTTGTAATTGATTCTGTTTTTTGTATAGCATTTTACCACAATAACACGAGCATTTAAAAGATTGCTTGGTACAGTATTTGATTCAATACAGTTTATCCAAATATATCAAGTAGACTATTGAATTCGATGAAGCATTCTTTACATCTGATACACATAAAAATAGTTTATAGACAACAAATAGATTCCATTTTTGTAAGAATGCCTATGTCTCGTGAATTGGAGAATTGAAGTGTTTTGGAAACAGTGAGTTGATGTAAGTATTGGTGTGAAAATGCGGAATATCCATTGCTATGTATATTCTTTGTAGAAATACAAGTTGTATTCAGGCTTCATGAAGAATAATGAGACATCCTTTATAAATAACATGAGTGTAGCTGATCACTATACAAACATCACCTCCAGTGGTTTTATAATCATCAACAAAAGTGGTTTTCGTTTATTATCAGTTGATGTATTACCCAGATATCAAGCAGCTGCTCAAAAAAAGCAAATCTATTTAAATTTAGCTAGTGGAAGAAATATTAAGCCATAATATGATCAATGACCAGTACCTCTCTTCTTCTTGTGGTATATTTAGCGTGTATAAAAATCTACTCTTTCTACATATCACATCGTAGAAAAAACGCAAAGGTGATATAATTAATAGTAATAATACTTTTTTCAATGTAAGAAACGTAAAATAGTACAATATATATTTGTAGCATAACTCGTATGTTGCATTATCCACATGGTAGATGATTACCTAAAGGTATTCTCAGTATTTTGCTATAATACAATACAATTGATATCGATATGATACATACCAATAATTCCATAAATACAATCGGAGAAAAATCTTTCGTATCGCTTCTCAAGTAAATGTCATTTCTACAAATAGAAAATTGTCTCCACGTAACTTGCATCATTGCTGTATTGATTAAATGAGAAGATGCAAATTCTTCATACAATTATTCTAAAAGTAAATAATACTGTAGCTAATTTAATATAATCATACTAAGTTTATAGTATTAAAGCCTTTTTGCTGTTGATTGGTATCAAGAGAGACTTTTTCTAGATTATGCACAAAAAGTATAATATCCTTGTAAGCAATGGAATTCTAAGATATGATGTAGGTTATTAGCGATGTGTGCTTGGCTCGCTTCGATCTTCTTCCCTTACTATTGAATCACAGTAGAAGTCAATTCGTGAACTTGTAATAGCGATTTTTGACTTCTTACGCGTAGTTGTCTAACAGAACATATAGATGATCAAAACATATATGGATATGACTATATACTTTTCTACATTGATATGAACAACCGACGTAGCTGGAGAATTTGTGAATCCTGTTTCGAACAAATCCCGTCTTCCTTTTTGTTCCACCGGTCTTGTGCAATTATTAATCATTGTCTTGTTTGGACATCTTGCTTCATTAATAGACTCACAAAAATGGACGCATTCCTTTGATATTAATGGACTCCAGAATCAATTGAATGATCGAGGCATCGCCTTTGTACCGTTCTCTACCAATCCTGTTCAATGCGTGTTTTATCTTTAAGCAATAGAATCGCGAAGCATTTCCCAATCCAACGAATATCATATATCAAAGAATTAATGTAGTATTACCACTCTCAGAAACAAGAAGCCATGATTCATCCTCCTTAGGTGTTTATGTATTTTATTTTGTTTATTAGAGTACATAATTATGTTTGGAACATCTTTTTTTCTCATTTTACATATTTTGCTTTAGTTTTACATACATATATTTACATTAATATCTTTTTTGAATTAACAAAATGAAGGAAAGTAAGAGGTAAGGGTACTTTGTGTGTTTGTAAACATAGTAAGCAGCCTGTTGATTTTGACATTTGCAAACGAAATTTGCTGTTAAAACTAAATCACGAGCTGGATAAATCAAAGAAAGGTTCAGTAGATGAGCCAATCGTCTCCCTTGTTGAGTATCTCAATCAGACAAAGGACTATTGCACTACCTCATCTTGTTCTGGTCGATTCTCTATTTTTTGTGCTTCTTATGACGAAGAAAAGTCAGAACAAGTTTCCGTGGTGTTTGAAGTGAAGTTGTGATCTATAGAAAGGCGGGAAATGGCTCTTTGTTGAGCACAGAACTGTTACTCCAGAAGAATTGCTGGAAGCAACTCGTAAGGAGCTTGATCATTGTAAAGGGGTAACGCTCTTCAAGTTAGAACCGTTTGTTTTGCATGTAGGAGCGAGGCAGGGTTTCTCTGTAGGTTCAGTGCAGAGATAGCGAGAAAGCTCAGGAGCTACTGAATCTTGCGGTTGCTTCCGGATTTCGGGAGAGCGGTATCTTGCTTGGAAGAAGAGTCATCTTGGGGATTCGGACGACCGCAAATAGTATGGAATTTCCGATAGCAGAGAACGGAAAACTACTAGTGTCGGAGGAATATGTGCGATATGTTGTGAATTATGGAAACAAGAAGTTGGAGGATAACTTTAGAAGAATCCGAACTTTTTTTGATGCTGTAAATCTTTTATTCAATTGTAATGTAATGTAGATCAAACAAAACATCCCGACTGTCCAAGAAGAGCACGAAGCAAAGGAACACCCTGTTAAGAAAATTCATATTAGTGATAAATATCTTGTTTGTTTGCAGTTCTTTGGCATTCTTTATTAATGGTTCGTGTTTGTCACTGCAGCGCACCTGGAAAGGCCATCCTTTTAGGAGAGCATGCAGTTGTTTATCATAGAGAAGCCTTGTGTGGAGTGGTGGATTCCTGCAGAATTCATTGTTATTCTGTATCCTTTGGTTGGAACGTTATTTGAAATTAGAATATCAGTGATGAAAAACGGATAAGTGTGTTTGTGAAGCAATCTCTACAAGATCAAGGGGAAGCTGTTCAAATTGATTGGGCACAGCCATTTACAATAAATACGGATAAGAGAAGTTGTTTTCCCCTCCTTTTTTCTCAACTCTAGGTGTAGAAAGCATTTTTGAGAGTGACATCACTGCCCATGTACTCTTAGGTCAACATCCAAGTCATTTTACAAAAAGCGCTGTCGTTATCGTTCTCTACTTTTTACAGGAGGTTTTCCCGTGAGGCATTTTATTCTGCTAGTAATTCGCAGCACTTTTGAACGAACAGGAGGATTCACTGTTCGGATTGAGAACGAGGGGATTCCTCGAGAGAAAGGCATCGGCGGGTCTGCTGCTCTCTGTAGCTCCATAGCAGCATCGATCATTGGCTGTAGATACGCATATGAGACGATCAGCGAAGAAGTGCTATTTCTACTCCTTCATTATCATAGTTTCTACAACGCGTGAACGAGCTTTCCTTTAAAGGAGAAGTCCTCTTTCATGGAACTCCGTCGGGTCTCGACAGCACGGTGTCATGTTATGGTATTCGCAGCTAAAGTGTTTCTTGACTTCATAGGAGGAATCATCCGGTTTCGTCGCAGTTTGGATGGGAAATTCGAAAAGAAGCAGGTGAAAACAGATCCCTTTGCTGTGTTGTTGGTGGACACAATGCTCCCAAAGAACACGTTCGAGATGATCAGCCGCGTAAAGACTCTCAAAAGTCACTATCCGAAATCCGCAGAGCATCTCTTTGACTGCATTGACGAGCTGGTGAAGGCGAGCATCAACGAGGAGGGCGTGTTGGAAATGAATAAATTGGTCGGCGCAGTGAGAATCAATCAAAACGTGTTGAAAACGCTTGGAGTGAGTTGTGAGGCGATCGACGAGATTGTGCAACTCGCCAAACAGCATCATTTCGCGGCGAAACTCACAGGAGGTGGGGGTGGAGGCTGTGTGATTGCGATTCGCGAATCTGCATGTGATGAAGATGAAGCGGAGTTGATAAATGTGTTGCATTCGCGAGGCTATCAAACTTTTATGGTTCGATTGGGAGGTGAAGGGATCCAACTCGAACAAATCGAGTCGACTGTTTGAGTCAACAAACACATGGAATCATCATCATCTCCTCCTCCTACTACTACTGGTACCTATCACTTCTTTCTAGCCATCACTTGCTCATACAAGGAAGGAGCCGCTTTCGACATCTTCACAAACTCTCGCGATTCTTCCATCTCCATATCGATCAGGCCTTTGCTGATCATGGTCTCTACGAACTCCTGGCATTCCGACACGCTCAAACTCAGCATTTCGGCCAGGAAGGGGATGGAAATCCGCTGATACATTACGAATATGAGATCCAAAATCGTCAGTCGCGCCTCGTTCATGAACGTTTCCTCCGACTCCACGCCCATTCTGGAGAGGAAGAAATCGCTCGCGAACACGTCTTCGCAACGAGCCAGTTCCTTTGCAGCCTGTGCGAAGTCCATGCGAACAATGAGGTGATAAGCAAAGAGAAGAATGGGGTCTTCCAGCACATCCGAGCATCGTTCCAAGATCTACACGACTCATCGCGTCTCCTCGTCTCTACCTCGATCACACGCGAGAGATTCACACGCGCGGCTCTGCCCTGCTTCATAAACACGACCACGAGGTAGCGAAGCAGCCAGGGAGCGTTGAGCTCGATCGTGGCGAGATATCTACACTCGAGTTCAGCTGCCACACCGACTCTTTGCGGAAGAACGTTCGCACGAAGAAATCCTCTCCGTTCTTCATTCCGCTGAGCAAGAAGAGGCCGTAGTGAACCAGCCACGATCGCTCTTGGAGCACTTGAGCAGCCGAAGCGACCTTCTAGAAATGATCGGAGTGTAGAGCATAGCACTTCAATGTTGGCCAGGGCGTCTTCCAGCTCTTTTAAAGTGGTCATTCCGTCATCCAGACTCATCAACGACTCACAGGTCAGACGACCCCACAGCAGGTTCAGCATGCGGTCGTGGAAGAGATCGCCACTCGTTGTCGCGGGAATTTGTTGACTAGTGTGAAGACGTTTTCTTAAAAGGAACATGTAAAAGGAGATAAGGTTCAGAGCAAGTTCGTAGTCTCCGCAATTCATGATAAATTGGGCGAGGGAATAGGACTTGTCCATATCCTCTCGCGTCAGCTGTGAGTCAAGATGGACACAAACCCTCGTACAGAAAACTCCTTCAGATCATCATCAGAGAGCGTAGGGATGGAATCGCTCTCCAGACAGCTTTCCATGCATTCGTACAGTTTGCTGTCCTTGAAGTCCTCATATTGGCGATTGATCCCTTCTTCTCGACCTTTGAACTCTGAAAATTGAACAGCGGCACAAAAAATACCAGCAGGTGTTTCGTCGGTTCCGTTCAGCTCCTTGTACACGTCGATGGCATAACCAATCATGTTTGTATGACGGAGTAACTCCAGACGAGCCTTCGCAATTTCATTCGGTCCATACATTTGCGAATAAAGGAAATCTATCTCCATCTTTGAAAATAGGATATGTTTGTCTTCTCTAGCCAATTAAAGATAAAAAGCATAATATGGATGTCAAAAAAGGGTGCCATCTTGCGCGACAAATCATATGCTATTCAATAATTGCGCAACGCAAAACTCCTACCCGCATTACACTTTCCGTTCATTATTTCTTCTTCCTGATCGTATCTTTCAGTCATTGTAGGCCCAGCGAACTAGTTTATGGACGGAACGAATGGTAAATAACAAAACCAAAGTAAGACAGAAATCATGGCTATTTTGGGACCTCATTGCGTTTCCCTGTTTTCTGCAACAACTCATAGTATTTTATATCGAAAACCAATTTTGAAATGAATATGAACGAATTGAAGAAGAGAGCTGCTGTTGAAGCAGTCAAACAAGTTAAGAGTGGAAATGTTGTTGGTTTGGGAACGGGTTCTACGGCGTATTTTGCTGTCGAAGAGCTTGGAAGACTGCTGAGAGAAGGGATTTTGAAGGATATTGTGGGAGTAGCAACTTCTATTGAAACCGATACGCATGTCTGGATTTTGGAGCAGTGATGATTTTGTAGGCACGCTCTCTGAATATTCCAATGACTGATATTGACAGTGTGGATTCTATTGACCTAGCTATTGATGGAGCCGATGAGGTGGATCCTGATCTTCAGTTGATTAAGGGGAAGGGCGCTGCTCTGTTGCGCGAAAAGAGCACCGAGATTCTGACCTCTAAGTTTATTGTGATCGTGGATGAGAGCAAAATTGTGTCCAAGCTGGGAACCAAGGATGCGGTTCCTGTGGAGATCACTCCCTTTGGCTGGAAGCAGACCCAGAAACGTTTGAGCAAGTATGGTGAAGCCGTTCTCCGTCCTAGCAAGGAGGATGCTTCTAAACCGTATGTGTAGCGTGGCTTGTTGTGAGTGTAGACTGGTTACGGATAATGGAAATTACATTATCGATCTGCGCTTCCCTGAGGGTATTTCGAATCCTAAGGAGATGGATAAGGAGTTGAAGTTGATAACGGGAGTGGTGGATCATGGTCTTTTTATTGATATGGCGCATAGTGTAGGACTTGGTATGGAGTCGAGACTGATGAATAGGTAATAGTTGCTTCTAAGGAAGGTATTAAGGTGCTTAACAAGGAATAGTTTGTTTCTGTTTGTTTATGGGAATATTTACGATGTTGAAGCAATATGGTATTTGGATGTAGAGTTATGAAGACGATCGAGTAGCTTTAGCGAATGGAGCGATATTTTCAATGGTTTCGTAGGGTACTTCGAACATCACTTATGAATACTTACTTGATTCCTTCCTACCTTACTCACACTATTCACAGACTTAAAGAGAGTTATTTCTCTCCTCATTCTTGGTTGTGATACAAGGAATTGCTTCTGTTTCGCTCTATCAAGCTTCGGTTTTCTGTATAAACTCATAGATTCGATCTGGAATTACTAGAATGGGAGATGTAGCATTCCAATAACCCATGTTGACGTTCCTTCTTGTTTTTCTTTTCCTTTCGCCCCAGTGAAAAAGGAATTGATTTCTTTATCATATCAATTCCATGTTCAGTACCTTCTATCCATAGTCTGCTATGACTATATCGTTTTCTTGCAGAATTAAACATGAGATGAATAGCAGCAGCGACATAGTCATAACTGCATTCACCACTACCACCACAACTGCAACAACAATCAACTACAAACATCCATTCTACATACCCACACGATCCCTCTGCACTACACCTTCGCCAAAACGCTTCCATCATATTCCTCACTGAAAATACATTACTAACCTGTCAAAACCCAAATAATCACATTCTCTCTCTTTCACAACAATACTAACCGATCCCACCACCCACTGGTATTATCCAAACCAAGAAATACACACAGTTTTCCTTTCCCTGTAATGCAGCAAATCCCGCATTGCTATCATCAACATCGCCCATTGTACGATAAACGAAGACCAGAGAACGACAAAGAATCAACAATGACAACGTTTGGTCAAATCGAGCCAAGTGAGTAAGAGTGGATTTCCTTCTATTCACGGTTCAAACTGTCAGGATCCTATCTCCTAGTCTACTGTCCCCTGCACAACGGGGTCCAACTCCAGTGTCTTTCTATCGTGTCAACAATCTCTCCGCCTTAGGGAGAAAGCAAGAATTAGAAGAAACAAGCACACGTTTGCTAAACAAAGAAGACATTCGTAGAAAACAAGCACGAGCCGATTCCAGTGAATCTCATACACGCAGGCAGCAATCCTAGATTTCGCATCGATTTCACCAATCACTTAGAAAGCGATAGGAATGGTGTATGGCGTATGACGTAAGAGAAGAAGGCGGAAATCATATACTTCTCTGAGGGACGACATGCGATCAGGGGGACCAATCAATTGCGCCTGGAATCTAAACCCTCATACTCAAATTTTCTTATTTATTGTAAATAATGTTCACTCGTTCTGCTATTGTTGCTCGTAACTTTGGAACTGCTGCCCGTAAGCTGTTCGTGGGAGGAAACTGGAAGTGCAATGGATCTATTGCCAAGGTGCAGGAGATCGTTTCGACCCTGAACGCCTCCAACCTGAACAGCGATGCGGAGGTGGTGATTGCCCCTCCCACCGCTTACCTGCGTGATACCGTCTCGACTGTGCGCCCCGATGTGCAGGTGGCTGCTCAGGATGTGTGGAGCCAGGGCAACGGTGCGTTCACCGGCGAGACCTCTGCTGAGATGCTGAAGGATCTGAAGGTCGGTTGGGCGATCGTGGGTCACTCTGAGCGCCGCGGCAAGGGTGAGTCGGATGCTGAGGTTGCTACGAAGGCTGCCTATGCTCAGAAGAACGGGCTGAAGGTGATCTGCTGCCTGGGAGAGTCTCTGCAGGAGCGTGAGTCTGGCCGCTTCGCTGAGGTGGTGACTCGCCAGCTGAAGGCGTATGCCGACGCGATCAAGAACTGGGATGACGCGGTGATTGCGTACGAGCCCATCTGGGCGATTGGTACTGGCAAGGTGGCGACCCCTGCTCAGGCGGAGGAGGTCCACGCCATTCTGCGTAAGTGGCTGCGTGAGAACGTGAGCGGTGCTGTTGCCGATAAGGTGCGCATCATCTACGGAGGTTCTGTGAACGCGAAGAACTGCAACGAGCTGGGCAAGCAGGCCGATATCGACGGCTTCCTGGTGGGCGGAGCTTCGCTGAAGCCCGAGTTCGTGAACATCATCAACGCGAACTCGACGGTGAAGAACGCTGGTCCGGTGAACGTGGGTATCAACGGTTTCGGTCGTATTGGTCGTCTGGTGTTCCGTGCCTCGCAGCCGAACCCTCTGGTGAACGTGGTTGCGATCAACGATCCGTTCATCACTCCCGACTACATGGAGTACATGATCATGCACGATTCGACCCACGGTCCGTTCCAGGGAACGGTGAAGGCGGAGAAGGACGCGATCATCGTGAACGGTCGCCGCATTGTGGTGTCCAACGAGATGGATCCCAAGAAGATCCAGTGGGGCGCTGCGGGTGCGGAGTACATCGTGGAGTCGACGGGTGTGTTCACGGCCCAGGAGAAGGCTGCTCAGCACCTGGAGGGTGGCGCGAAGAAGGTGGTGATCTCTGCGCCGTCGAAGGACGCTCCGATGTTCGTGATGGGAGTGAACAACACTTCCTACACGAAGGACCTGAAGGTGGTGTCGAACGCCTCGTGCACGACGAACTGCCTGGCGCCTCTGGCGAAGATCATCAACGACAAGTTCGGTCTGAAGGAGGGTCTGATGACCACGGTGCACGCCGTCACCTCCACCCAGAAGGTGCTCGACGGACCTTCCAAGAAGGACTGGAGAGGTGGTCGCTCGGCCTGCTTCAACATCATTCCCTCGTCCACGGGTGCCGCGAAGGCTGTGGGCAAGGTCATTCCCGAGCTGAACGGTAAGCTGACCGGAATGTCCTTCCGTGTCCCCACCGAGGATGTCTCCGTGGTGGATCTGACCTGCACGCTCAGCAAGCCCGCCACCTACGAGCAGATCAAGGCTGCCGTGAAGGAGGCTTCCGAGACCTATCTGAAGGGAATCATGGGATACGTCGATTACGATATCGTCTCTCGCGATCTCCTCACCTGCCCCTACTCCTCGGTCTTCGATGCCAAGGCGGGAATTGCCCTCAATGAGCACTTCGTCAAGCTCGTCTCCTGGTACGATAACGAGTGGGGATACTCCAACCGTATGGTCGACCTCATCCAGTACATGGCCAAGGTGGACCGCTCTTAAATCCGTCAGTGACCAAACGAGTTCACTGTTCTTTTGTAAATAGTAGATTTCGTTTCTTTTGCCTTTTTGTTTGACAAGCTCAAGCGACTTGCTGTTGCTAATATTATTGTTGTTTTCAAACCTTTCTTCAGAAGCTATCTACATATATATTATATATATTATTTGTATACTTTTGAGTACGATGTCTTCTCTCTACTTGCAGTACGACAATCTGCCAACTTCCATACTGACCTATTTCTACTACTTTCAATTCAAGATTGCTTCCTTCTTTCATGTAACCGATGTATCGCTTGAAAAATCGCTTGATCCACTAGCAACAAGCTTTCGGAATCGCATTGATGATCGTTTTGACTGCCGGCTACTTACTTCTCGTAGCGCTTATCGCTGGTACCTGCTTTGCAGAAAAATCTCATTACCGTAGCTCGCGTATTCTGGAAGACAAGAGGAAGGAGAGCGCAGACGATCCATGGAGATACGATTCTTCTTCTCGGTCCTTGCGACAGTGGAAAAACATCGTTCTTTTATCTGGTAAAGCAGCAATGCATTCTGGCACATAGACAACGCAGGAACAGGTCCCCCAAACAGTAACCTCGATGAAGGAGAACGTCGCTTCCTTTTCGTGCGCTGAATCGAACGAGAAGGAATCCCAAAAGGTTCTCGGGAAGATTGTGGACTTCCCTGGCCATCCTTCTGTTCGCAAGTGTGTTTTGGTGCGGATTCTTTAATCTACGTAGCCAGCTTGAGAAATACTTTTCTCACACATCCGGAATCGTCTTCATGCTCGACGGCTCGCACTACAGCGAGAAGGAAGTCGCCGAGTATCCTTCTGTGGGTGTCTTTTCTCTCAGATTTCTCTACGATATTTTCGTAAACCCGTCGTTTGTTTCGCACCCCTGCCCGCTCCTCCTTGCTGTAAACAAGTCAGACCTGAGCGGCTGCGAAGACAACCAATCTGTGTTCGATCGCATCGAGAACGAGCTGTATCGTTATTGAATCTGCTTGTCTGTAGCGATCTGATCAAGGAAAGCCGGGGAAGCGTGGAAACAGTCGGCGAGCAAAGTGTGAACAAGCTGGGAGTCGAGGGGCAGAAGTTCTCGTTTGAGAAGGATGCTCCGTGCAAGGTCTATGCGTGCAACTGCTCGGTGAAGGACCGAGACGTTCAGAAAGTGACTGGGTTTATGACTGCTTGTTTTCATTAGATGTCTGTGTTTGTTGAATACCATGGATCTTGTTGCTCTTCTCGTGGCTGCGGTGATTTATGTGTTCTTTTCGGGCGAGCCGCAAACAGGTTCTGACACGCTATTCTCAAACTCGACAGAGATTCGGAATTTTGAAAAATGGGTTCACCAGAGGGGTACCGACACATTTTTAGTCTGATTTGCAGCTCATGTCGCGCCAATCAAGATTTCTGACTTTTCTGGCATGGATCGAGGTAGTTTTGGAGTTTGACTACAAAGCAGGTCTTGTTGCAGTCGAGGAGATCAAGCCAAACAGCACACTTATCGAGTTGGACTTGGATGACGTCATGTATTTCACTTTCCCTGATTCCTGTGCATAGATATCCATCGACAGTGTTAAAATCAGTGCCCGAGTCGGAAAAGGGTCTTTTCCTTGCAATGAGTGACGATTTGATGCTAACGGCGTTCTTGATTCAAGAAAGAATCAAGGGTCGTGCTTCCCGGTGGTATCCCTGGCTTCAAGTTCTCCCTTCTCCCTTCTCTTGTTTCTCAGACACTCCCAAAGCATCCCACCGTCCCTTCATCATTCACCCAATCCGAAATCAAGGAATTCGAAGATCCGGCGATCATTCAGCGACTGAACATTCAGCGAAGTGACTATTATAGCACCTATTTTGCTTTCACTCGGCACATGTGCACCTATTTCCTGCAAGTCGATGCTCCCTTCCGAGATCGGCTTTGGGCTTGTAGTTATTCCGGATTTGAATGGGGCTACACAATGGTCATCACGCGGACTGTGACCGAGAATCGGCTATTGATTCCCTTGATGGATTATCGCAATTTCATTTCCACGGATTCTGTAATTGAATGATTTTCGATTCATTGGAAGCCCTTCGAAGCAGTCGATCGTTCGCATGAACGAACCCATTTCATAATAAACGAGCAGAACCAGCTTCGAGTTGTCACCGATAAGCGTGTGAAGCGAGGTCGGCAAGTGTATTTAGATTATGAAGCTTTTCCTTCCCACTACTATTTGCAGCACTTTGGATTCGTTCCGATCAGCAACATTCACGACTGTTTGTTGATTCCTCTCCCATCGCACACACCTTCTCCGCGCTTGTCGAGAGTGTTCAAAGCGCTGGGATATCCGACGGACGATTCCGTGTGTTTGGATGTGACTCGCTTTCTGAACGACAAAGCGCTTTCTTTCTTTTTGCTGCGAGAGGCCGACGAAGACCAGCTTCAGAAATGCATCGATCTATACGAAACGCGTGTGAGTTCGAAGCAGAAGGGCCGATGGGAAGCAATGGATGTGTATGAATGTGCTACGGGGGAGAGGGGAGACAAGGCGAAGCAAATATGGGACGATGGAAAGGAGGAATTGAAAAGCAAACTGTTCGACCATTTGAAGTGGGTGGAAAGTGTGTATTCTACCAGTATTGCTGCGGATAACGTAGCCACGTGGAACTGATTGTGATTTCTAGTGGAAGTTGCACATGGAAAGAGATCGGCTGTCCGCTGCGTCCAAGCTTGCCTTGCGATGGCGTATTTCGCGCAAGCATTTGATTCAATTGATGATGAGCAATCTGAAAACGGAGCAATTGAATCCTCAGTCTGTGCAGTCCTCTTCCTCGCAATCCTCCCCACAACCTACACTCAATGAAGTCCCTGTTTCGAATCGAATTCATTGCTAGCCACTACTTCGCTTGAATGATTGGGTGAAAGAACACAGCGAGAATACCAAGATCAGCATCGGAAGCACTCCTTGGGGAGGATTAGGCGTGATAGCCAAGGAAGCCATTCAAAAGGGAGAGGAAGTGCTGCGAATCCACAACGATACTGTCATCGGTCTTCACACAGCACTCACTCACCCACGCTTTGGGAAAGCGTTCTCTGCCTTCTATCACCAGAATCAACTCTCAGAATACGCTCTTATCGCATTGACTCTTCTCTGGGAGAAATTCGATAACGAAAGATGGTCTTTGTTTGCCCCCTTCTTAGCGAAACTCCCATCGATCGAAGAATTCCATCATCCCGTTCTCCTCTCGAAAGACGATCTTCTCCACTTGTATGGCAGTGCGCTGCTCGACGAAGTATCTGCACTCAATGCGACGTTGCACAGAGAATTCGAGGCGAGTTGCGCTCTCATTCAGTCTCACAAGCATCTTCAAAAGCTTTTCACTTCATCCTTGGTCACGTATCCTCGCTTTTTGGTTTGGATTGGACGAGATAATGAATGGTAGTGGGCAGAGCTTCTGGTGCGAGGGAAAAGCTTGGTTGTGGATGGCGAAACACTGCTGATTCCGCCTCTCGTATTCGCCCATAACAGCATTTTCCAAAAGGCAGGCGAGTTTTTGCGAATCGAAAAGGAAGAAAAAGAAGGAAATGTGGTGGTTGTAAGCAGCGAGTCGACGGAATTCAGCTCGGATTGGATGATCCGACAAGGATTTCCGAATTGGTATATGCTTCTGTAGGATATTTCTGGTTTGCTGTGAGTAGATCAAAGGGCGAATTGCTGCTCGCGATGAAAGGAGATTGCGTTCTATGGAATCTTGAGTTGAAAGAAGACGATCCTTTCTTTGAGGTAGGAGCAGAGAAACGCGTTTCTGAATCATAGGAAAAGGCTGAGAGGCTTCACAAAGCAAACCTCCATTTGTATGAACGATTCTGTTTGGTTCCCAACGCGGAATCGATTCCCGACAAGTTTTTTGAAATGCTGCGAATCTTACGACGCAACGATTTCCATTCGAGTGAACGCGAGCTTGCGGATGGACGTGAGGTCAGCAGGAGTGAAGATCGATGGAGCCTTTTGCTGGACGCTATAAAAGAAAAGATGGGGAGTTATATCACGCAGGTGGTGAGTGATCGAACGCGCTCGAGGTACAGTTTGAGAATCAGATAGTATGGATAGGAGAGGGCAATTCAGCAATCGACTGATGACAATGAATCGGTTTCTTTCTATCGAAAAGCACTTGGTGATGGAATTGCGAAAGTCTGTAGTCCGTCTCCAGCGATCTGTAGAGTAGATTTGTGAATTCTCTTTGTTGATAACAACCACTTTCTCACTTCATTTTCCAGAGAGGGGCAAGAAAAGGGGAACGAAATGGAAAAAGAACTAGCTACGATTAACACTGAAGAAATCGATCATTCTGCCATCAACGAGCTGGATGCTGCGTCCAAGGTTTCTTCGTATGTTTTGCATGTTTCAATGAATTCAAATAGGACTGCCAAATCGAGTGCGAAAAAGAGCGGCACATTTCAGAAGATGGGAGTGAGTAAACCAGTATTAGCGGGAATTGTGAAACTTGGATTTAAGATTCCCACTCCTATTCAAAGAGCCACTATTCCCACGGCACTGAAAGGAAAAGATGTAGTGGTAATGGCAAGAACAGGTAAAACGAGTATTCAATGGGATGATTGTATAGGTAGTGGTAAGACAGCGGCTTTTCTGATTCCAATGGTGGAGAAGCTGAAAGAACACCACCTGACTGGTGGAGTGCGTGGCATCGTTCTCTCTCCGACTCGAGAACTTGCCTATCAGTCCTACCGTGTGTTTAACAAATTGTCTCACTACACCAATCTTCGTTCTTGTATTCTAGTGGGAGGTGAAGCCATCGAGTCTCAGTTTGAATCGATTTCCAAGCATCCAGACGTTATTTTTGCGACTCCCGGTCGTTTGATGCATATGCTTCTTGAGGTGCCCGATTTTTCTCTATCCTCTGTTCAATTCATATCTTTTTATTCAGAGTTGCTGTTGTTATAATTGTGATGTCTATTGTTGTAATATTTGTAATGTCTATTGTTGTTGTAATTGTTGTTGTAATGTCTATTGTCGCTATTATCATTGTGATTATTTGTCACTAAACTTCTGCTTCCTTCATTCATCACATCTGCTACGATGAAGCCGATCAGCTCTTTGAGCTGGGCTTCGCTCCCCAATTGAACGACATCACAGGCCGACTTCCAGTAAATCGCCAATCGATGCTGGTCTCTGCCACACTCCCTCCCATTCTCCTCGAGTTCTCGCGCGCGGGACTGCACGACCCAGAGATCGTTCGCCTCGACATCGACAGCAAGCTCTCTCCAAATCTCTGCAGCACGTTTTTCCTTGTTCGTCCCGTGCGAATTGCCCGTTCACTCGATCGTAGGAAGAGAAGACAGCCGCGCTGCTCTTCCTGATGCATCGAGTGATCCCCAACGTGCAAGGTGTGCTCATCTTCGTCGCTACGCGCTTCCACGCGGAGTATATCACCGTACCCAATCGAGCCAAGTGCCAAGTAGTCCATTCTGAACCACACCGGAATTAGCACGGTGTGCATTTACGGAACGATGGAGGTGAGTTTCGAGCCGAAGTGAGACGGTAGATGACCGCGCGAACCATGAATCTCGCACAATTCCGCGATAACAAAGTGCCGGTACTGGTGGTCACCGACGTCGCAGCGCGAGGTCTCGATATTCCTCTTGTGAACACGGTGATCCACTTCGATTGTCCCACCTCGCCGAAGCTCTACGTCCATCGAACCGGCCGAACCGCGCGAGGAGGCCGCGAGGGAACATCCGTCGTGTTCGCAACGGTGGCCGAGATTCCGTACATTCTGGACGTCGCGCTGTTCTTAAATCAGCCGCTGGAAACGACGACGGAGGGGTAGAATCGGTTGGGAGGTGCGATGCAGATACGCGTGGGACGAAATGAAACCGACGCAGGTGAATTATGGATGTTTCCCGCGGGCTATCATCGATCCAGAGATCCACAAAATCAAAATGATGACGGAGGGGAGCGAGGAGCTTTTCCGCCAGTGGGATGCGATGCAGAAAGCGTAGATGAGGAGAAAGCGTGCGAAATAGATTCAACATGTATCAGAAGACGAGGCCGAAGCCAAGTTCGCAGAGTCGCCATCGCGTGGAATCGATCGATGTGACTGCGTATCACCCACTGCTTCGATCGTTCATTCCCGATTCGGAGAGCCAGCTGGACTCGTTTCGGAAAGAAGTTCATGCGTATCGTCCAACCGCTACGATCTGGGAGATTCGGCACAACAAGGAGCAGGCGGCTGTGGGAGAAATTGCGATGGATGAGACGTAGGTTATGCAGAAGAAACGACGAATGCATCAGTGGTCGATCCAGCAAACGCAGGAAAAGGAAGTTCAGAAACGTGCCGACTCGAAGAAAGGCTGAGTTGTAGAGAAGGAGGAAGAAGAAATGAAATATCTCAATGAGCACGAGCGAGAGTTTGAGAACGAAGGACATCTCAAAGCGCCCGCCTCCGTTTCCGATGCAGGAAAGCCTCGAATCTCGAAGAAGATGCGAGCGATGCTGAAGAATTCGGGACAGAAACAGATCAACATCAAGGAACTGATGCAGAACGTGCAGCCGAAGGAGCCGGAAGAGGTGCGAGCGATCGTGTCGAATGAGAAATAGAAGAGTTACCGAGACGAGCAGTTCTATATCAACCCGGAAATGCCGGTCATTCGCGAAGGAGAAAGCGATTTCTTGAAGGTGGAGCAGGACGATGTGGCCAAAATGACGTCTGCTGCGAACAACGCTCTGTTTGAATTGCTGGGAGACGATGCGGAGACGATTACGAAGAACAAGCGGATCGTCCGATGGGACAACAAGCGGAAGAGATATGTGCGAGGCACGGTGGGAGAGTTGAAGGACAACAAGCATGTGCGGAACGAGAGCGGGCAGCTGATTCGGTCGAAGAGTCAGGGAAAACGAGGTGAGTTGTACAAGAAGTGGAGAGAGAGTCACAAGCTGAACGAGCAAGAGATCGGCGAAGAAACGAGAGAAAAGCCGAGTCTTCGTGGAAGACGGTTTGAAAAGAAGGAAAAAGCGAAGAATTCTGCAAAACATATCCTTAAACACTGCGAAGAGGAGTGAGTTTCTTTTACGGACAGAGCCTCGCAATGAAGTGAAGACGCGACAGCAGATCGTGAAAGACTTGAAGGAGAAGGAGAAGAACAAGATCAAGCAGATGAATAAGAAGGATCGCGAGAGTTATTTGAAGAAGAAGGGATTGTGGAGAGAGAAGAATCAGCCGCGACCATCCCGAAGAAGATGAAAATCGTTCTTTTTATTTTACTCTTGTTTGTTACAGAAAGCAAACAAATCGCAAATTGCAAATCGCAAATCACAAATCACAAACAACTAACAATAACTTTCACGACATCGGTTTCTTTTATTGCGTTCTACATTGAAGATATCGATTATTCTTACGTCCTTAAACAGAGAATTGCCTGTAAGCATGTTGCCACACAAAAACAGTTGCACATAGTCAATCTGGATAGTATTTTTGGCTTCTGGGAACTAGAATATCAACATCAAATCAAAGAACAAACGGATCCAATGATGTCCTTTACAATGTCTTCCATCTGAGAGTTTGTGAGCGTGTTCAAATCTTGATCTTGAGAGTATGTCTGAAATATCGGTGGCAGGCCCACTATTTTCTTTCCATGTGTATTCTCACCAAAAGATACAATGAAGCATCGATTCTCGTCCAAGAAATCCTACATTCCAAATTAACTGAATTGCCTACTGCCTTAACATCAAACAGGAATTCACAGATATAGTCATAGTAACGAATAGGTTTTCTGGAAACTGGATCTGGAATATTTATATTAACATCAACATAGGGAATGGGATTAATTGGAATCAGTAAAGTATTAGAATCTGCACTGCTGAACGATCCACAATCATAGGCAGTTGAAGTTTGAATACCCTGTTTAGTTGATGGGTTAGCAATATCTCTTTGATTCGTTGCTTTCTCGATATCCATAGTCTTCTGAGCTTGTGAATTTAATTGTCCTCCAGAATTACCCTGTACTACACATTGTTCACTCATATTATCACCATTTTCGCTTTTCTGGTTATCTTCATCACTTCCATACTGTTTAAAGCACGAACTAAATAAAACTCCCATGTTATTCTAAGAAACAGTTGGGATCCCACGATTTTGAACAAGGAGTTACTCCTTTTCACAGATTCGTAGAAACAATGTCCGTATTGCCTGGATTTGCAGCTGATGATGGTTTTAAGGCGCCCGCTGAATGGGATGTCCATGAGCAGACGTGGATGGGTTTTCCTCAAGTAGACCCTATTTATTGGCTTGCAATTGTTAGAGACCCGATATCTGGAGAGAGAATGCCGCTCCGGCTCAGAAAGTGTTTGCCAACGTAGCTAATGCGATTGCACGCTTCGAACCTGTAACCGTTTGCGCCCCGAAGGAGCTCTACACTGTTGCGCGCTCTTTGTTGGATAAGAATGTTCGTGTGGTGGAGATGTCGATGAACGATTCTTGGTTCAGAGACACGGGAGCGATCTTCGTGAAGAACGAGGAGGGAGTCGTCCGTGGAACGAATTGGCTGTTCAATTCTTGGGGTGGTCTGAATGGCGGCTGCTACGATTACTGGGAAGATGACCTGCTGGTAGCAGGCAAGATGTGCAACATCGAGCGTGTTCCCTACTACAAGTACAACATGATTTTGGAGGGAGGTTCGATTTCGTTCGATGGCGAGGGAACGTTGCTGACAACGGAGGAATGTCTGCTGAACCCGAACCGAAACCCCTCGATGACGAAGGAGCAGATCGAGGCGGAGCTGAAGCGTGGCTTGGGAGTGGAGAAGGTGATCTGGCTCCCGAACGGTTTGTTTGGCGATGTGGATACGAACGGCCACGTCGACAATTTCTGCGTTTTCGCGCGCCCTGGCGAAGTGCTGCTCTCGTGGACAGACGACGAGAAGGATCCGCAGTATCCCATCAGTCAGCACGCGTACAAGCTGCTGGAGGCCGCGACGGATGCGAAGGGTCGCCACTTGAAGATCCACAAGCTGCACATCCCTTCGGACATCATTCGCACGCCCGTTTGAGCGCGTTCGAGAAGTGATCTGTAGGAGGAGTTCGCGGGACTGACGCAGGAGGAGGGAACGATCGAGCGCGAAGAGAATCAGCGCCTGCCGGCGTCCTACGTGAACTTTTACTTCGCGAACGGCGCGATCATTTCGCCTTGCTTCGGCGTGAAGGAGGACGAGATGGCTCGGAAAGTCTTCCAGGAAGTGTTCCCGGAGCGCGAAGTGGTGATGGTGCCCACGCGCGAGGTTATTTTAGGAGGAGGCAATATCCACTGCATCACGCAGCAGCAGCCCAAGGGCGTGAAGGCTTAAGCGAGTGCTGCGATCGTCGACAACTAGGAATCGAATCGTGTGTTTGTTGCATCAAACAGAATAAAGCCCGCGCTCGTAAATGTAGCGCGGAAGGGTCTCAACGGTCAAGGTGCGCGGCTGCGTATCGGCGTCGTGCCTCGCCATCTTCTTAAAGAACGTGCGCGCTGTGATCACGGCCATCTCCACCGAGAGATTGTGGTGGGCAGGAGGAAGTTGCTACATCGAATTGTGTCGAAAGCGATACTTGCTGAATCCACTCGGGAAGTCGACTCGAATGATCCACCAAATCATACCGATAGTCCGCGAAGATCACGAACGAGTAGTCGTTCTTATTTCGAATGGTTCTTCCCACGCACTGAGCGCTCTAAAAAACAATCACAAACATGAAGAATGAAAAACTTGCCGAATCGCATCGCAGATTTGATAGTCGTTTTTATCCACATCGTACTGATATCGAAGGTATTCGCACTTCTGATTGAGCTCCTTGGACAGCGTGTTTCTATTTGGAATGAAGGTCGCAAAGATACAAGAAAGGAACTCCCATCAGAATGCAGCATCGACCATAATGATCGTTAAAATGGACTCCCTCTGAAATATGTCCCCGAACTACGCACAACAAAACGGCTCCCTTTCCTTCATCGCACGACTTTCGATAGTTCTGGACAGCGACGTTGCTCTCATTGATATCTCGACTCTCAATGTAAAGCAGTTTGTAGTTGTAAATGTCCCGAATCACGCCATGCGCGTCCCATTCGCACAGAAACAGCTCCAAGTGGCGTTAAGAACGCAACGATTCCATATTAAAAAAGGGTTGGATATGTGCGAATAGCTCGTGAAGAAGCAGATAATTCCGTCAGGAACCACGCGAGCCATTTCCACCAGCAAAGACCCTTTGTGGGAAAAGAAAGGAAACAGACGATACCATATGACACAGCGACTTGATTGTTGGCTCGAAGCGTGTACTTGCTGGAAAGCTTCACATCGCTCTTCGCAGACAGGGAGCTCGACGGCTTCGTGTCCGGAACCTCCATCGCGTTTGTGACGGTCATTCGCCCCTACATGGCACAGAGAACGAAGCCCAAACCTGATCGTTTCCGCGAGAGACGACGACAGGGCAGAGATGCGAATTCCGGTCGATGCAGATGGACTTGGCGACGAGCGGATGGAACTGGAGCAGTTTAGGATACAGATCTAAAGAGAGGGTTCCGCTGGTGATGATGATGTGCTTAAATGCGGCGAAAAGAGGCTGCATCACATAGCCAGCATCGCAGCAGATGAGTTTTAGCACGCGCTGGGACGCGACAAAGTTTTTGTTCCATTGATTTGATGAGACAAAGGGGGGCTCGACAAGCATGTAAAAGCCGTGATCGTATTCCCCGATGAGCGAGAAAAACTGAATGATGCGCTTTAGCTTGGCCACTCTGCATCCATCAACGAGCAAACAGCAGCGCTACTTCTCAGGAGCCAGCGAATAGCCGGAGCTCTCAAACACAGAAAGCAGCCGCTGAAACCGCCCCGAAAACGTGCGAAGCTCGTAATAATCGACGAGACATTCCTGCGAACAATCAAACACAACCCCAAAAGCAGCAAACTTGATAGATCATAAGTCGAACTTCGTTGATGGTAAGTCCGTTTACGATTTCCGGTTGCTTCCAGTTCTGCATCGCCATCACCATCAGTTTTAGAAGAGGGATAAACGCTTCCACCTCCGTCGCTTGCTCCTTCGTCTAGACTTGAACGCAGTGCGAGAAAATAAACCATCGAGGAAGGCTCCGTTCTCGGCATTTGGATGATTTGCTTGCCTCCAAACTCCGTTTTGACCACGCTTACCGAGTTCACAGCAGCCTCTCTCTTCTGGAATTCTTTAGAAAGTCTACATGAAAGCCAAAGAAAGGATGGACTCGGTGAGAAAGGAATAGGATTCTTTGAGATGCGAAGAGGGGATTGTGACAGAATAGTTTTCGCAAAGAACATCGTCGATATTGTGCCCTTCATCAAAGAGCAGAATGTTGTTTTGGTTGTTGATGTGAGGAAGGATCAGAGGACTAATCGAAGGATCCAGTACGTACTACATTGCACAGCGTTCCAACAGCCAACCTGGTAATTAAACACGATCACATCTGCATCGTCAAGACACGACCGAGCAAAAAAGTAGGGACACGTGTCTTTTCGTTGCTGGAAATCGCTCAAATTGTATCTATGTCAAACAAAACACAACAAGAAAAACACGCCAGGCGCGATGGAAGGCCTTCTTTGGTTCCTTGAAAACTTTTCATAGTATTCGCAGCCAAGATCCTCGATGTCTGGAGCTTGGCGAGGATGCTTATCAGAGTACCGACATCTCCGAAAGCATTCATCATGCAATGAAGGAACTAATTAGCAATGCAACACTCACAATTGCATATTGAATTGAATGAGGATATGTCTACGCGTGTATCCGGGTTGATACAGTCGATTTTGGGATGGATACACAGATTTCGACGACTACTTAGACAAACTCCCAAAATACTCCTGTATCGATATTCCAGTTTTGACTTTCGAAATGCGACAACTCTCTTCAGCTCCTCCATGCATTGTTTCAGTTCAGCAATCGTACGAGTACAATATATCAATTTTCCTATCACAATAAAGCATTTGTATGGCGATAAACCTAAATCTGGGTAAGAATGCTTCATTGCGAGATATAAAGCGAAGATGCACACCGTTTTTCCAGTTCCTGTTGGCATTTCGAGAAGTGCATGCCCCTTCTGCTCACTGGTTTCAAGAACTTGCTTCAGCTGCTGCATGTACTCATATTGCTCGGGATAAATGCTTTCATATCTATGAATAATGCGGTTATGTGAGGAACGACGGAAACAACACATCCAGCCCATCTAAATTAAACTGCATAACTTCGAATGGGAAAAAGTCAAATTTGTTGGAATCCAAATCTCCTTTTTGGCTCTTTTGAATTTGGAATAATGAGCGACTACTGGATGTTTAATTTGGAGTGGTTTGATGAGAGTTATGCATTTGAGGGAGTAACGCTTTTCCGGACAGTAATCTTATCGCTGATTATTCTGCTGGTCGTCTACGTGCAATGCTTAGAAAGGAGTAGTGTGATTGTAACAAAACTTGGTAGCTTTTAATGCAATCAATAGTTTATTTCTTATATTAGTCGTAATCATATGTATGTTGTATTTAGAATATTGAAGCAGAAGGGGACTTTTTTTAAAGTTTTTGTTTGAGTTAAGAGTACATTTTCAACCTTTATTTCTACATGGTATGCAAATATGAGATATTTTTCTGATTGTCTAAAGTTTGTATACCTTATCCATGATCTCTCACATATTTGTTGTATATTCTATGCATTTCGCGTGCTTCTCGTAGATACTATAAGCTATTTCTTTCAAATGACCTTAGTTGGATTTGATGAATTGTCCATCACATCAAAAACCACTCCGCAACTCATAACAATATAAGCTCAACTACGGTTGTTCTTATAGCTTTTCCCTTTGCTTTCTGGTCTTTTTTTGGCATCCGCCACCAAATATGACAAGAAACTAATGTAAACTGCCATATGGCAACTTCCATAGTATGATATCCCCTAATATACTCAATAGCCATATCCAATATTCGGGAATTCCTCAAATATAGTTTATTTTCAATTCTTCTTTCATTTAATGTTCAATGTCTTATAGATTAGAAATATTAGTCCTCTTATTTATTGCATCGTCCTTTTATTTGGCACTTGTAAACATTAATGTAAATGCTTTGGATGTCTTGTGACGTTCAGGAAGGACCAGATGTTATTTTTTTGAATGAACTGTGTGCAAGGTAAGTTGCTTTCTACTTCTTTTACATAGTAGTCCTACCGCTGATTCTTACCAGATAGGATTTGTCTCAAAGCCTAGTTTGAGCAATTACTCTGTGTCCTTAGGTCCTAAATTTAATGAGGAATATGGAATCTTAGTGAGTAAAATTCCATTGAGATTGATACCTCCTTATTCTTGTAATTTTACAGTAACTGGCAAATGCTTGGTTTATTCGTCACGAATTCCTCATGAAGAGCCTTGGTATTCTAGTCCAAGTATTTTTCAGCGAGAAGACTGGTATTTTAAACGTTTCATTTTTATTTTAGGGAAAAACGGTTTGATGAACTGATTACGCGAGTACAGAATAGATATTTGGAAATGTACTTCTTTCCATATACTGCTCAATTATAGAGAGCATAATCGCAGTATTAGCAATACATTATATAGCTCATATCCATATTCTGCTGTCTCAATCCATTTTGTTAGGCATTCCGATAGTCCTTTTATGTATGCTCACAATATATGCGTTAACTCGAAACTGGAATGGTCTATCTACTTAAGATGCGAATCGTTTAATGTTCATTATCCAAAACCAGAATGTACTTTTTTGAAAAATTGATTATGGTTATAGCTTTCAAATGGAGTCACAACATAAAGGTTATCAAAGGTAAAGTACCGGATGATGTCAATTGGATTGAAAATGGCGTGTTTTTCGTTGCTAAACCTTTGGTAAATCGCCATATTGGACATTTTACCGAATCTGTGAATCAGGTCTTATTGAAATTACGCTATCCGTTTGTTTACCCCCCATTCACTGATTTGTACCTTCCATTTTTTGAAAACACTGAATTTGAATGGTCGAAAACTTATTTACAGGCGCTTCTGAGCCTTTTTCCTAACGATCAAAAACCTTCTCTTCATCTAGCCGATTCCATTCCTTTGAATAAACTCACCTGCTTCCGTTCTGCAGTATTAATTTGATACTCTGTTTAGTATAGGTTTTGTTAGATCGGGTTAGTTATTATAGAGATGGGAGTTTATTCGCTGGATTCTTTTCTCATGATCTTATGAAGGCCTCTATTTATCGTTATTTCAATATGCAGTCTAGAGAAAATGATCCAATGCATCTCTCTTTACTGATAGTCGATCGAGCGGAAAGGCGAGGCTTTTTGTTACATGAGACTTGGGTCACTATTCTGTCTTCTCATTTTGATGTATATCTTAGAGATATATTTTCTTATTTACTGTAGAACTTGACGGTGTCTTTTAAATACATGGAGAATTTAACTTTTGAAGAGCAGGTGCAAGCTTTCTATTCGAATGATATCGTGCTTTCTCCTCACGGTTCGGCTCTTGTCAATCTACTCTTTTCTATTCCCCGCTCTGCTGTCATTGAATGTAATCCTCCTTATTATATGGAACCGTGGTATACAAACACTGCTCTGATATCACGTGCCCACTATTTGTGGCTTTCTACTTATTATCCTTATGATAAAAGCAATCAGCAATGGAAAGCTGCTGAAAAAGCTTATTATTATGGATACTTTACCACTATATACAGAAAGTATGTTAATAATCTTGTGAATCCTCCTGTATTTGCTGTGCTTAGCGCAGTAAGAGATGCTGTAGAGTATTTGAAACGATGGAGATTTGTTTATGAAGTAAACGATAAGTGGTCTCCAGTATTTTTCAACTAACTAACCCTGAATTCATCATTGGTATTCGCAATTGTATCGTTATTTCTATCCAACTTATTTGATTTGTTATACACACAACAGTGATCAGCTGCTATTCGCCATCTCTATACAGTAAGGATTTGTCAGTGTTGATTTGATGGAGTTCTATTTGGGAGGACAACTAGAACTGCTTAACAATAATAAGTGGAATAAAGTATTCTTTCCTCATAGTAAATGATACTGAAGACTTTAATTCTTTGATATAGGTCTGGATTTCCAGTGTAGGTATATCTATCCATGCAAAGAGTGGATTGATTCTCATTATGAAACAATATAGAGGTTCTTATTTGACTTAGTAAAGTCCATTCTGTTATTTGCATTATAATTGAATAATACACTTTGTTCTCAATTAAATATTGTTTTCTGCTTTTAGCTCAATGAACGTTGGACAGTAAGGCAATTGTAATGCCATCGGGTATTATAGTCCGTTACAAGTACCATTATTATACTAAAGCAAGCAATACTTGCTCAATTGCAGTATGAAGGGAATAATACTGCCACTAATGAAAACTATCAAAATCGGAAAGAATTAATTTACCCAAGAGAATTATTGGTATGGAAATGATGAATCGAAATCATTCCACATATTGAATTGTGGATCATTGGAATCAATAGAAATCGGTGAATTCAGTTTCAGTGATTTTGGAGGCGACTTTGAATTGAAGAATCTACCACAATTACAATCCATTCAAATTGGTACAATTGGCGATTGGTCATACAATTTCTGTTTTAGTTTATTTGTGATTCGAGGTATTGATATGATATTGAATATTTGGGTAATATATAGATTTTCCGAATCTACAATCCATTACATTAGGTGATTGGACATATTGTCAATCTCAAGTAACAATAATTGAAAGTATTGAACGAATGTGAATGAAATGATTGATGTAGATCTTCCATTATTGCATTCCATAGAACTTGGGACTGGTGCAGCAGAAGGAAATAGAGATGAAAACTCAAGTTCATTGATAATGAAAAGTAACGATGAAATGAATGCAAATGATTTTTTTTGTAGATCTTCCAAATCTTATATCCATTAATTCTAAGGGTTTTGGATTTTGGAGTTATGGTATAGTTAATTTGGAAAGTAGTTTTACATGCTAAATAGTAGTAGTTCATAGATATTCCAAATCTCCAAAGTGTAAAGCTACCTAATTCATTTGCAATAGTTCATTCGAAATCAATTTCGAGTATAGTTTGATTGATTGGATAAAATTCATAGATGTTTCTCCCATACTTTCCCATTATGTCTAGCAAATCCACACGTTTTTTCAATATGAATTGAATATGGATTTATAATTAATGTGTAATTGACAAAAATATAAATGCTTTGATTTATCTCATTCTATTTAACCATTCAAAGAGGAGCAAATTCTTAGCGTTTTGGAACGATAGTAACTACAATTGAAGCAGGGGCAAGTACTAATTTCGGAGTGGGTTTGGATTTCGGCTTTTGTTTCGGCTTGTGAAGCGAGTGTACCATTTGTCACACAAATTCCTTCCACTCCATCTCTCCATTTCACTTTTCGAGATGCAATCTATTATTCTGATCGATCCAGTATCCTCCATCATTTTTAAAAAACGATTCTTTCAAATCATAATTAGTGTATTTATAGACACACACAGTACATTGATTGGAAGCGGTAGTGTTGTCATTATATCGTTCGCATTCTAGAATGATAGCCCATTTAATCTTGCGAACGATTTCCAAAAGTTTATTATCCCTCTATACTATTTCTAACAACAACGCTCCAAATTTGATCTCATTTTCATATTCCTATCATTCTCACTCTCGACTCGTATAGATATCACAGTACTAATCAA